ATGTGGTTGAAGCTCCACATGTATATGCAATGCTGTCATCTTGGCTTTTTCCTTTTTTATTTATGTATTTTATCTTTAAGTCTACAGACAGGGGAAAAAAATCAACATATGAACAATGCCACAAGAGTTGCAGACAGAGGTGCCTGTCACCTCCTTTGGATCACTTGCCAAAGAATTTGCACCAAAACATTTGTGAAAGTTTTAATGAAGACATCAGACTGGGCAACGTTAGTGCTTGTTGCCCAATTGTCTGGAGCATTTGCCAAGATACCTTCATCAACAGAGGAAGAGGGCTTTAGGCTGCCACTTGCAGTCAATCCCACAGAGTTCATTTGGACTACCCAACCTGGAAATGCTTTGACCAGCCCTATGAAAGGTCTTCTTTCATCTTTCTTCTCACCAAAGAAACTTCAGTTCAGCCTTCTGTCACTATACAACTTTTGCAGGAGAAAGTTGAGAAGGGCTCTGAAGCAGAACAAAGTGAAGGAACATGTTGCTCTCATTATCCATGGGACCAGGTCGCTTTGTAAAGCAGCACTGACAAGATTTCACTCAAATTTGTCAAAACCAAGCCTGTGAGTCTTTACAGCTTCATACAGCTTTTATTGGCTGGTGATATTCTATGCCAGTTCTCAGTGCGCTGAAGTTGTCAAAAGTGAAAGCAAAGGCATAGGTAAAGGTAAAGGTAAAGGTTCCCCTGACACATATGTGCTAGTTGTTCCCGACTCTAGGGAGTGGCGCTCATCTCTGTTTCCAAGCCGAAGAGCCAGCGCTATCCGAAGATGTCTCCATGGTCATGTGGCCGGCATGACTCAACTCCAAAAGCTCACGGAACGCTGTTACCTTCCCACCAAAGGTGGTCCCTATTTTTCTACTTGCATTTTTTACGTGCTTTCGAACTGCTAGGTTGGCAGAAGCTGGGACAAATAACGGGACCTCTAGGGATTCAAACCGTTGAACTGCCGACCTTTCGATTGACAAGCTCAGCATCTTAGCCAAGGCATAACCAACTTCAAAACAGCTTGAAATTAACTGGAGTGTGTAAACCACATAGTGGTCTGAAATGCTTCCATTGTGAAGGACATGAAGGCTGAGCTGACACAATTTCCCAAAACAGAACAAGAATTAATCTGAGTCATTAGAGGATTTGGACTGAGCTTGAGAAAAGTGGTAAAGTGGTAAATATAAATATGAGGAATTTTGACCCGAAGACTGAATATATTCAAGGCTCCTCAAGTGCCTTGAGCTGCCTTGAAGGCTCTTCAAGAAATATCAAGGAAAGGAAACTGAAGCAGACAATAAACCTCAAAATCAAATCGAGACTAATACAACCATGCAGAATCTATGAGAAGTTGCAGAAGGAAAATAAACTGGCTGAACAAAATCATCAGTGTATTTAAAGGGTTGTTACAGGTATTGGAGTTGCAATGAAACAATTGAATCAGAGCCAAAAAGAAAACAACCCTGCAGAATTAGAATCTTCCATATAGTCGGAAACAATCAAACTGGATGATTTTTGCAATGAAAAAAAAATGCAAACATTTAGTATGTTTTAAACAAATAAAATTACAGACTTTAAGGCAAATATTATGTATTAACACATATGTTGATTTAAAGGGTTGGGAAATGTCATGTTACATCTATCTTTGTACAGTACGTTTCTATGTTGTTCTTTCCACTGAGGGCAAGGTAGCTCACAGTTTCCAAGAAAACTAAATGAAAAAAAAAATCAATTCTGCTATACTTACTGTATAAAGAGGCAGGTGGTTAGAATTTAATAGATTTTTTTTATCATACTTGTATTACTTTATAAGTAACTCAAGGCATCAAACACAGCTAATACTCCTGCCTCCTCCTCCTCCTTTCTATATGGACAGGTCTATATCGTTTTCTTGGCAACAGTGCACCAGTATTTTCCATTTCTTCTGATACTTTTTTTTCTCATTTTTTTTTAAAAAAGTCTACTCTTTTCTGGTGATCTCCCACCATCCAGTTATACATTGAGGAAATGATTTGAGAAAGAATCAGCATGGTTTTGCCAAAGGTATGTCCTGCTTCACTTACCTTCTGGGAAAATGCAGATACTGGTAAATGGAGAGTCATTTTGAAACAGGATGGAATGATGTTGACCTGACAGTCAAGGTCAAGAAAAGCAGGTAGGCACCATTGTTGAAAAAACATGCCGGATCTCTTGTTCCATCCATTGCTTCTTGTTCTGCCTTCAGGTGCTGTGGAAGAGTTGTTATTCAAATCATATGTCCTAAGTGAATAAGATCCTAAAACATTTTCTTACATTTTCCAAAGAAGTACAGTATAGGACAATGTTCACCAACATTGGCAGCTTTAAGATGTATAGACTTCAACTCCCAGAATATCTGGCTGAAGAATTTGGGGTGTTGAAGTCCACATATTTTAAAGTTGCCAAGATTGGTGAACATTGTCCTATACTGTACTTCTTTGGAAAATGTAAGAAAATATTTTAGGACCTTATTCACTTAGGACATATGATTTGAACAATAACTCTTCCAAAGCACCTGAAGGCAGAACAAGGAGCAATGGATGGAAGTACAGAACCAACATAGAACTAAGGAGAAATTTCCTGACAGTTAGAACAATTAATCAGTGGAATGACTTGACTCCAGAAGTTGTGGATACTCCAAAACTGGTGGTTTTTAAGAAGAGATTGGACAACCATTTGTCTTAAATGCTATAGCGTTTCCTGCTTGAGTTGGGGATTAGATTAGAAGAAAGACCTCCAAGTTTCTTCCAACTCTACTTTTCTGTTAACTCTTTTCAACTGAAATCCTTGTGTCAGTTTTGTTGAACATTGTTGTTCCACATAGCTTGATTTTTTTAAATTAAAATGTCTTTATTTATGCCACAGATTGATTTGATGCAAGCTCAAAGTAAATATATTAGTCATATCTCATGTCAGCTATCTCTGGCAATTCAATGTGACTATACAGAGACTTAGACGGTAGCTTATTTAAAGAAATTCTTTCAGGGTGAGAGAGAATTGACCACATCTGACCTGAAAAGATGGCTTCAAAAGGAAGTCATTGCATAACTAATTTAAATGCAAATCTAAAACTTCTGGGATTTTTTTGCCTAGACAGTGTAATACAAACAGTTGATGGAGTTTTGATAGGACACTGGAAAGAAAATGAACAACTAATTGCCAACCAGAAACATGTCAGGTTTTTTGGGGATATGCTGAAGTTCCTTAAACTGATGATTCACAAGCCCTCTGCATTCATTCAGAATTGAGACATGTTTTCATAACTGCAGATGGAATTACCAAATCCAAACCATTTTAATTATTGTTGGAGAAAGTCTGATTTTTAAAGGAAATCAGACATCTTAGTAACCTGTGTGCCATTGGATGACACAATAGAGTGACTATGAAGTTATAAGCCAGGAATCTTTAATTAAATCTTGCCAAAGTGAACAACTTTTAAGTTGTTGACTGACTAGAGTTTGAATATTTGCCCTAGTAAATCTCATTCTGGTATTTTTTTTTCACCTTTTTTTCCTAAAGTCTGTCTTACTTACATACTACTCTGGTAGGCTACTACTAAGCTAGATCCACATTTGAAAACCAGTGTTTAATACAAAACATTAGTCACTATGGTGTGTGCTGGGTGAAACAAAATTAACCCACATTGTGGTTTAATGCAAAATAGGAAGGCAGACATAGTTTCTATTTTAGTAGCTTATTTTAATATATCACTTGATATTGTTTTATATACTTGTGATCTTCCCTTATAGTGGCATTCAGAAGATGGAATTAAAAATATCACATTATTTTGTTTGTTTGTCCACCATCATCTTATCATTTCAATACAGTTTCATCAAATTATCTATTGGCACATTTGTTTCACATACGCACAAAATTGGCTCATGCCCGTTGGATCATCTTACCACAGGTGGTGAGATCCATTTCCACACATCTGGCCCTCTGGAAGGGCCTTAAAATTTGGTTCTGCTGGTTGGCTTGGGGACCCAATGGTCTAGGCTGGAGATGGTTGGTACAGTGATAGAGGTCCTTTCTGCCTGACCCCTTGGTTTTTTGGAATTTTTGGAACTTTTGAAATTTTAAATTATTTTGATCATTGTTTTTATATTTATATCTTTTACTCCATTGTAAGCCACCCAGAGTCACTTTGGATAACAAGATGGCTGGCCTACAAATTTACAGACGCTTCTTGTATTGAAATACAGTATTGATCTGAGTTGTTGTATACTGTGTTACCACTGTAGCTTCCTATGACTTTGTGTAGCCCTTGTTTTAGAATTCAGGTGTGATAGAATTCCATAAGTTTCTTTAGCTTCTATATGGAACACTGAAAGATGAATATTCATGTATTTAGAGCCTTGGAAAATCATACATGTTCTTAGTAAGAGAAAGAAACACTCCCTTCAAAAACTTTGTGAGAATTGTGTAAGATAAGTTGTCAACCAGGCCTGGCCAGGTTATCAGTTACTGACCTCTAATCTTTTCCCTTACAGGTACACAACTGGAACTTCAAAATTTCCACATGGTGCAGTCTTATATACTTGGGAGGAGGAGCCAGAAGGTAAGGTGTGTCTATGGGGGTGATGGGGTGTGTACTTAGTTAACCCTTGCAGGACTGTGGGGTCATGGAGTTGAGGGAGTTAGACATTTACTCTGACATAAGTCCGTCACCTTCTCTGGACTATTTGTCAAAGAGTTTGCACCAAAAACATTTATAAAAGTATGACAGAGATGTCAGACTGGGCAACTTTGGTGTTTACTGTTATCCTTGTTCATGTATAAAAGGTCTTCTGAAATTTGCATTGGTCTTACCAAATTAGTTTTCCTTCACATCCTTTTCATCTGTGTAGAAACAGCAGATTCACCTCAAATTTCTCTTTGGATAAACCTCTACTCATCTTAGTGTTTGGGTGTGTGAAACTCTGCAGTGAATCAAATTTGCAGTGTAAGGTTGCAAGAGTGAATACAACTACCATCACAAGTACCCTGTGCAAAAAGTAGAGAGTCTTTATTCCTTCACTCCCTTAAAGTTTGAGATATAATTCCAACAATCCAGATACCAAGCTGGGCAATTCAAGCAACAGCATATTTGATATAATTGATTTGGTTTAAAATCTTATTGTTGATAAAGCCATACTAGGAACCGCAATGAGTCAAGAAATTACTGTACAAAGGGAAAGGAAAGCTTAGGCGGTAAAATATAGAGAGAATTCTGTCTATATAAACACATAAAAAGGGGATGTATTTGGGTTTATTTTTCCCTTCCTTCTTGCTACTCTCTATGTTATGTGTAAGTGAACATTTCTGTCTGGGTTTAAAAAAAAGGAGAGATGCAAGAAAGAAAAGAAACATGGTTTCGTATAGTCATAAATACTGGCAAGAAATTTGTAACAACAATAGTCCAGGCAAGTAACAAAACAAAGTCAATAAGTCACAATTTTAATAAGGATCCCCCCCAGTTTATATTGGCAATTCTAATGACAGTCTTACTAGATATAAACCCAAAATTCATTGGATGCATTTCTTCCCCCCATGGAGATAAATTAGATGCTTGATTTGTGTTGTTTGGATTCATTCTGAAAGTTTCCATCACAGCAGTCATGAAGTAAGTTGATGATATACAAAGGGATTATTCGTGTAAATCAGAGTTTCCCAACCTTGGCAATTTTAAGACATGTGGACTTCTTCTGAGAGTTGAAGTCCACACGTCTTGAAGTTGCCAAGGTTGGGAAACCCAGAAGTAAATAATGAGGATTCCATTGGTTTGGGAAGGCCCTGCTGTAGCAAAAACATCTAGCCAATCCTAAACACATTATTCGTTTAACCTCTGTAATTTCTGGGGTGGTGGTGGTATTTGGTAGTTAAAAGTAAAATGTCATTTTTCAGTTTCTAGGCGCTCAACATTTTAGAGTATTCTCTAAAGAATAGAGAAGAAGATAAGAATAGTGAGATGCATAAATGGCATATATGGACAATTATAGGAGCCTTCATAGATATATTACTATCTCATTATTACTGACCTCTGGATTATTGACCTCTGGATTTTTAATCATGAGGGTGAGAAGATCAAAAACTGTGGAACAACATTGCTGGGAAAGCAAAGAACCACAGTTTTTAAAAAGAGATTGGAACTATGCAAACAGTTGCAGCAGAAGAAATGTTGATATTCATTGCCTTGCATTATACACAGAAACGTTTCCATCTAAGTGTATATCTAAGGCAGAGAATTTAACAATGCACAGGCAATCAACCTATTCAGGGATGGTTCTGTCCCTACTGCTAACTTTTAACTGACTTTTCTGAGCTCAGTTAGGACAGACTCCCTCCCTTCCAAAATTAATTTTCTTCTATGTATTTATTGCTCTAATACTATTGAAATCATGTACGACGTTTCATTTAAAATTCAAATAAAACTAAGCAAAATGGGATATCTTCTGAAAAAATAAACGTAGAAAAGAGAATCACTAGATGGAATATTTCCTGATAGGAACTGATTTGACAAGTTGCTTTCTGCTTCTTCTAGAGTCTAGTCAGCTCAAAGCAATCTTCCACAGTAAAACATCTAAAACATTCTTTTAAAAAAAGAATTATATCTAGAAACTTCATAAATCGATGGTTGGTTGGTTCCTAATTCTGATTAAGGGATTATGTTCTGGTATGTCCATTGAGAGTACTCTACAGCCAAAGAAGTGGAATCTGAGTAGTTCTAATGCCAAGGTTGACAATGTTCTCTTTGGATCGCACCATTGATTTTGAAGTGCTATTATTCAGCAGAACATCCATTGGAATAAAAATTACTATTTCTGGAAACATGATGCTAGGAAAGGGATGACAATCCACATCCCACCTGTTTCATGCTAGTAGAAGTCAAGTTGGAGGAGCCTCAAGCCATTTGTTTTAACCTTCCTGTTCAAATCAGGAAATCCAGAAAAAGAAATCCTTATCAAAAGGATGTCCAGCCAGTATTTGAAGACATCCAGAAAAAGTCCTGCAGCTTTCTGGATAACTATGCATGATTAATATAGAAGACACTACCCAAGAATTGGCAAGAATGCTGATAATATAATTGTGTGTTTATTTGTTTAAACCACTTCATTTAATGCATAGAAGAAAGGTCCCGCAGTGGTCCTTGATCATGTTAGTGAAGAGATAGTCTTGCTTTTAATAGTGAAAAATGGCAGAGGGCAACAGATCAAAAGCTAGTATTTCAGATTACTTTTCAGTGCGTCTTACATAGATATTCCATGAAGTCAGTGTAACATTTGCCCTGAAATTTAGCAGGATACATCTTATCACCAGCTTGCTCTTTTGCCAAATATTTCTTAAATACACAGCACAAAAATAACTTGAATAGAGCCTGTTTTGAATCAACCTTTTATGAACTATTCAAACTTATTACTGCCAGAAGAGTTAACTCAGCCCTGTTTCCTCTTCCCATTTGTTTCTCCAGCACATTCACTTTAACTGCAGATGGAAACAGATATATAAGCTGCCTGTTGGGCTATTGGTCCAATGTGGCTGGTTTTTTTTGTTTTTTTTTAATCATTTGGGCCAATGTCTGCCTCTTAACTAAGGACAATCAGTGAACCGTGATATGAAAAAACAGCCCGGTATGTCAACATCTGTATTATAATGAACTGATGGGAACTTATTCCTCATGTCTATATTGAGCTGCGTCTCAAATGACCTCTATAAAAGAAGATGATTTTTTTAAAAAATATTTGCCAATGCCTGCCAGCTCTGTTAGGATAAAAAGGCACATTCTTGACTCTAACATTAGGCTAATCCAAGCCAATTTGCTGCTAATGAGAAAGGACAAGATGGCGGCTTCTTTAATCTATATTGACCAATCAGAAAATTGTTTTCCTTCCATATTGACATTTAGGATACATCTAAGGACAACAGGAGCACTCTTCTGTCTGCTAAAGTTCTGTCCCAGTTTAACCAAGATGCCTTTCTTTGTTATAAATAAGCCTGGGCCTGCTTAAATGTTATTTATTTGTCAGATATTATTTATTAATGCTGCTGAGAAGGAAATTTAGAAAATAGCTACTTTTAGACATGAGATTTAAACAAACCACTGTGAGAGCTTCATACAACAGCTCGGAGGGAAGAAATGTTGCAGTTTAAGGTCGGTGAGTTTATAATGGCTTACCTCCTGCTCTCTCTCACAAATGCAATATAATTTGGCTGTTTTACTGCTCAGGAACTTTCTTTAAATATCAAGCTACATATACAATTAGCTAAATCACCCAATTATTCCAAGACAGAATTTCAGAAATTGCTAGAGGAAAATTCACTAGCAAACACAATTTAAACAGAGTGTTTTAAAAATGGGGGGGGAAGGGCAGAGCCACACAAGAATAAATGTACAACGAAGAAAAGTGCATTTCAAATAGGTTTCTTTGGCAAGATTATGTAATACTCTGTGCGCAGAGGGTGCTTTGAGTGCATTCGGTATAAAATCCAACATCTTCTAAATCATTACATAACATACATGTGCTAAAATTACATTAGACCTGAGTCCCAGGTATTGGACGTGAAATGGAGGGGCTTTTTTCAGAGAAAAGCCTGCTTGCTGATATCTCTAAAATCTCAGAAACAAACCAACAGCTCTCCCAGGGGTTTGAAGCTCAAGAAAAGCAAAGTAAATGAGCCTGGACCAGAGTTTGTCTGCCCTGCATCACGAAAGTTTCTTTGTGCCACTGCTAAAGTTGGATTTGTGATTAAGTCAAAAAAAGAAGAAGATTGATATAGCCAGTCATTCACTCACATCTGGAGCAAATCACTAGATGAACCAGTGAATAAGGCACATGAATTAGAGCAGCTTTTCTCAATTGGCTGCTCACTAGATAGCGTGGTATGGGTACTCTTAGAACTCATTGATCATGTTAACCCACATGTTAATTGGAAATTCTGGGACTTGTAGTCCCATTGAGAGGACATCAGGTTAATGGAAGGTGGCTTAGCCTAACAACCTTTTGTTAGAGATTCTAGAAAAGGAAGGAGATAAAACCAAAGTTGTGGCAATAGAATGAAAACTAGTTGCCCTTTTCAGTTCTTATATATCCAAGACAATCCTTTCTGGCATGGCTGGATCAACAGTCCATCGTGACTTTAGTCTTTGGTCTACATCCTCACACATAACCGGAGTAGCCCAACATGCCACTTGAGGAAAGTTTATTAAAAGTCATCATTTTTTTACCCAACCAACATATGCAAAAAGATTGTAGGGTTTAGAGGTGAGTCAAATTTCCCATTAGTTCTAGAAACTGTCCTTTTGGGTGTTTTGCCTCACATACATTTTAAGAACCCTAGGCTGAGAGAAGGACCTGGAAGGTGATCTACATAAGTACAAGTTTATTCCTAAAACGCTGCACTGTCTCGATACAAACTGGACAAGCAATAAGCTGTATAATGTGATTAGGCTTTGCCTCAGCGAGTGGGCTAAAAAGAGAGGGATCTTAAACTTTCCATCTTTAGCTCGTGAGTTAGTACAGGAACAGTGTGCAAGGCATGGCTGAAAGCAGATATTTTGTTCACGTGCATGTGCCTACCAATGTATTTACTGATATGTGACTACTGGATACTTATATCAACTTACTTTCATCTGAGTGTCAAAAAAAAAAAAAAAAGGCATGAACCATTAACTTCCAATATACTTTTTCCTGTGACAAGGTAGCAAGCACTGAGTACAGGGACAATTTTGAAAGCAGTGGGGAAAAAAATGAAATCTGAAAAATAGAGACTTTCAAAAAATATATATATTTATAATATTTATATATCTATATAGACACAGTCTTTTTCTAATTGGTTAATGGCAGGGTGAGACAGTTGCAGGTGAGGCGGGGGAAGGAAGGGGGGAAAATCATCTTGCTTGAATTTTTCGGAAGGAGAGAGACATTCAGCACAAACATAAAGAATAAATCTCGCAGTCTCCAGCATCCCATCTGGCTATGGATGGGGCTCGGAGCCTGGGTGATGATGCCAAAAACTGATGTTCCCACTCCATCCAAGTACCTGTCTCAACAATTCTCCATCACAAAACTCATGCTTTATACAACAATATCCAGAAATGAATCTCTCTTCGCACACTTTCACACATACGCGCACCGTTATCCCTCACGTCATTCAGTGATAAAGTACAAATGCATTCGTGCTCATTTGCTCAGGCAGAGGATGAACAATGGGGTGGGGTGGGATGGGATGAGGAATATTGTATAATGACATTGCCCCGGGGCATACAATTAGAAGCTGCTGCTTTTATAGCATTCAGGAGATGGAACTGACCTCGTGTTTTGACACTTTGCTCAGTATGGTCACGTTAACAAAACGAAAGCTTTATACTGTCACCACTCCCCAGACCTGGTATTTCCCAGATATATTAGGATTTAAGGCTCCCAGAATTTCAGGGGAAAAAATCCCAGTGCATCTGGAGGTGACAGGTTAGTCGCACAGAGAATATTCTATGGGGTAGGAGGAATGAAGGGAGCTGCAAAAATCAAAGATGAAAAATAAAAGCAACAGGGCCAAAAACAAAAAAATAAATACTTTGTGTAAATTTCATTTTTTTTTTTAGAAAAAACTTATTGATTAGCTTACATTATTTTGTCAGTATATTTCATACATACTTACATACATACATACATATATATATTATATAAGAAGGCAATGAAAATGCCGAGGGAATTTAGGTGACTGCATGTCTCGCGAGTTGTCGTACTGGTTTTTAATGAATGCTGCATGAGTTTGTATGAAGGGCCTCATCAACATGGCCTCCATCCCAAAAATGTTTCTGTTCTTCACTATTTCATGACCTATTCATGTCTGAACAAAATTGATGGACAGACCAACTTCCATTCATGATTTCTAGTGGAGGCCACTGAATTGTGTCAGTGGTGTTGGAGACCTGCGAAGACTTAGGTCCACCTTGCCATATAGCAGTTTGGATGACAATTGTTGAATTGCACCTGCCATTTCAGTAGCAGTGAACAAAATTTTATAGGTTTGGGTTATTAACAGGGCATGGGGTAGAATGTTTCATATTATTTCCATGCAAGTGGTTTTTGAACCAGTTTGTACTGACTCAATTGATATATTGCAAAACAACAGTGGCTTTCTTGAATCTAGCCTAATATTGAAAAATTCACAATAAAGCCATAGGCAGAATGGGTGATAGAAAAGAGCTTCTTTTTATCCATTCAGCACATCTTTAAATCTAAAAATTGCCAATTGTAGAAGTTTGGGAAGATAGTGAGAAATTCTTATTACACTACGGAAATTCTATGTGATAGATCAATCCACATTATTCACTCTCTCCTTGATAGATACCAAGCATGAACAGTTTACAGATAGTATAAAAGTGTCCTCCATTAGAAATGCCAAAAATCATTCTAACAGAAGGATTCAACCGTGGTGTTAAATATAAGAAGATACAATTTTTCTGCAACTGCTTCATTTTCTCATTTTCTCTGGAAAGGATATGAAGTTGCTTTGCATGAAATGATATGCAACATAAGGAACAGCCTCCCTTTTCATACTAAATGTCAATCTAGCATAACATTATTAGGTCAGTGCAAAAATCTACTGTTTGATGCCTCCAGAAGCAAAAATAAAGCTTAATAATGCAAAAATAATAAACTAATTTTGCTACATACTGAACCTCCATATGACCACTGTCTTTTTGAAATAGCTAGGGCCATGCTTAAATCAACAAGGTAAGTCTTTATAATGGTTATTCTTCATGGCTTCAAAATAGAATCCCCCCCCTCCCGTTTATTGGATTATTCATCTTGCCTTTGCTCAGTTTCCATGCAATTTCCAAAACAACGTGTATGTCTCCCAAAGGATAAGCTTGGGCAGAACTGTTTTTATCCTAAACTCAAAAGGAAGGGCATTCCCCAATTCCTGTGTTTTAACATTTCCGGGAAAGAGAGTCTTAAGGACAATTTATTCTGAGTCCCGTTGCATAGACTCTGTCCGATACTAGCGTATTTTGCTTTGGCTAGCATGCTCCGCAAACTATTATTGAAAAAGAGATTCTCAGCTCTGAAACTCTTTTGTACAGATTGGTAGGTGCACATGCATGTGGGGATGAGTGTGACTACTGATTAAAATAAATACTTTCTGCTTGCACTGTAAATCTCACAGTGCTAACCGTTGTTTTTGTAAGTTTATTTTTCAGGTTACGGAGGCCCGTGACCTCAGTGGGAATGAGATACATGTTCTGAATCGCCATCAGAGGCAAGAAGCCTCACGGTAAAGCCTCACGTTAAATACTGAAATATATGCATATCACAGACATACCACATGCATGTGCACACACACTCATTCAGACATACTTCATACTTTCAGCAGTAGTTGAACCGGGAGCATTTGCTTTTAAAAATGATTTTAGCATCTCTCTGGATATTATTTCCTGAAGCTCATATAGTCATGGGTATTTGAGTCGGTTTCGTTTTGCCTTATTTTCTAAACAAGCAACTACTAGATAGACCTATCCCACAAAGATTACTAAGATTTCATACTTTGGCCTGTGGGGCTGAATTCTCTGATTTTTGTGCTGATCCAAAAGCCAAAATTGTTTCCATCTCTTGATCTTGGCAGGGAAAGACAATGGTGTCAATTCCTTGGTTTCTGCTACATACATGTGTTTGGTTGGTTTCAGCCTTCCAACAATTCAGATCGCTTTTTATATATATATAAACCTTCCCCTTCCCCCCCCTCATCAGTTCACATCACTCCTTCACGATGCACTTCCTCACACTACTTCTCGGAACAACTCCAAGTCCTTCGTCAAAATTCAAGGGCAAGAAGCCCCCTGCAAAGGGGGAAGCCACAGTTCATCTCTTGTGAGAGGAGCCAAGCATAACTCTGGAAACAAAATTGACAATGGCAGCCGCTGGCTGATCTGGGTCCAGCTCAGCAAAGAGGTGGCAAACGTTGTCCGTCGTACTGCCTTGTTTCCTAGCCACGAAGCCAAAGAGTCTGCAGGATGACAAAGAAATTAAGGAGCGATAAAATCATTCCGGTCCGAGACAAGACAAGAATTGCCCACTGCTATTTGTGATCACTACCATACTTTACATGTGTATCAGGTAAAACTCTTGATATTCCTTCTACCATGCCATTTGAAATGCACAGGGACTCAAGAGAAATCACTGTTAATTAATATGTGCTTTATATCACTATTCTTCTAATTAAAGTGGGAAGATTTCCCACTGTAAATGAAGAGACATATTATGTGCATTATATATTTTTCTTAAGTGAACAATAAATGAAATCCAAGCAATCCTGAGAATTTACAGAAAACAGAGAATTCAACCAGGATTTTCCTTAGAATACTCATACAGAATTAATTATCTCTGAGCTATCTACCTGAAGCTATAAATTTCCTTCGCATTATGATAGGCAGCTAATTCCACTCTGTGGTTATATAGCAATAGCAATAGCACTTAGATTTAAGCTTTATAGCCCTTTCTAAGTGGTTTTCAGAGTCAGCATATTGCCCCCAACAATCTGGGTCCTCATTTTACCCACCTCGGAAGGATGGAAGACAGAGTCAACCTTGAGCCTGGTGAGATTTGAACTGCCAAATTGCAGACAGCCGGCAGTCAGCAGAAGTAGCCTGCAGTACTGCACTCTAACCACTGCACCACCTCGGCTCATAAAATATGAATATGTTATCAGGAATAATTGGAGATGGCTTAACAGGATGGATTATGAGCCACAGAAGAAAGTGTGTTCTAACTGTGTAAGCAATTTCTGCCTTTAATCAAGAATTTCTGAGAAAATCAACAACAAGTAGAGGTCACCAACTTTGTATTGTGATCCTTAGGTCCAACAGGAAAATAAATCAAATGAAATTTAAAAACTAAGCAGTATGATTTTTCATGACCACAGGCTTCTGAGAGGTCAGAGTTAGGAGGGCATATTTGGATTGTAAAGATAACAATTCAGACCAAAATTACTTAATTTAGCTCTAAATTCTTTCTTAGGTTAGGCCAATGTCTTTGAAAACATCTTTGAAAGTTTTGGTAGATTTAAGGACTACGAGAACAATCCCCTGTCCTATGTCGTGTGTGTGTGTGTAAAATATTTCCTAATTTTGAAATTAATCAAAGGGACAACTTACTTGGCAGCACCACCAGATTCTGATTTAGTCCACCTGAGGAGAAACAAACAAAAAGCTCTATTTAACTTTTACACTGAGGAAAACTTGATACTTTTTTAAAATGGCGAGTTAAATAGAGGGTGTATTTAAGAGAGTGGGAAGCCCTGAATGGAATTCCACTGATTCATTGTCAATAGATTCTTTCTTCTGTAAATAAATGACTACAACAACTAGGAAAGGGGATAAAATCCTTTCATAATTCTCTACAGTTTGAAAATCTTGTCCCTTAACTTGTCCTTAACTTGTCCCATACTGTTTGAAAATCTTGTCCCTTAACTCTTCTGAGAAATTATCTGTTGCTTAAAAAGGATCATGATCTGACTTTTAGAAATATTCTGAAATTCAACCCTGAAATTTCACTACAGGGCTTAATGACAATTAAAAAATAAATGAACAATCATGTACTTTTTTTTCAGTCCTTCCCCATCACAAGTCTGCAACTTCATTGACCTATAATGAGTAAAAGTCAGCATTTTAGGTGCATTTGATCTCAAACTGAGTTTTCATTACTTTGCAAAGAAACAGATGAACTCTGTTCTTCATTGGCAATTTAGTTCTCTGCCAAGCAGAAACAAGTTGTGGGAGACATCTGTAAATCTCCACTTCTGTTGATAATTTCCTGCATATTTGCTTCAACATGGAACAATCTCATTTCTTGGAAATCAAAGAGATCTGGCAGTAGCAACATAGGGGAACAGATGTTTAATTACAGAGGTTCCTGCTCAAACACAGAAACAAAGAATCCGCAAGAATGATTAGTTCCTTTCAAGACCAGAAATGAAAATAGGATTCCAAGAATCCTGTCCTGGGCAATTTCCCATTTTCCCCCATTATATGTTCCTATCTTTCTATTCCAGCCAATGGTTTTTGTTCATTCTGATACAGAAAGATATCTTGTCATTTCCATCTCTCAATGTGTTCAGGTAGAAACTGTCGCTCATAGTGAGGATGCTGTTGATATTTACAGAAGGTCTGGTATTAGTATAAATTAGATAATTTTAAACACATATTAACCCAATAAAGGAAAATATTTTCAGCTCAGAGTTGAGATGAGGGCTCCTTGGTCCTCTATGAAGTTGCTTGTTTTCTTGCAGATGTTTCATTACCCAAACTAGGTAAACACCAGCACTGATGATGTTACCTAGTTTGGGTAATGAGATGTCTACAAGAAAACCAGCAAGCTCAGAGAGCACCAAGGATCCCACATATTAACACCTTGAATGAAGGTGTTTCTTCAATGGATTAGATTAGAGGCATTCTTCCCAATCCAGAAGTGGCAGGGTCTTTTTAGAGGTGGCTTTTTTGGTTGTAAAATATCCTAAAGAGATTTTAATTGGTTCCATCTCCACTAGCTTTTAAATTTATTTATTTATTTATTGGTTTGATTTATATGCCGCCCTTTTCCGGAGACTCAGGGCGGCTTACAATGCGTTAAGCAATAGCCTTCATACTTTTGTATATACCTGCCTAGTAGGGCTTTCGCCCCCCCCCCCCCCCCCCCCGGTGTTCTTTTTTTTATGAAGTCAGCTTATTGCTCCCACAAACTGGGTGTATGTATGTATGTATATATATATATATATATACATATATATATATATATATATATATACACACACACACACACACACACACACACACACACACACACACACACCTTGTTTTTTATTCACGATGCATTTTACTTCCTCTTTCAACTTGCTTTTTCAACTGTTAAACTCTGACTAAAACTCTTTAAAGATATATAAGACATAGAGAATAAAAATAGGAGGACCATGCCCATATCTACACACTGTACATACTGCTTCCGGGAGTTTTATTGCTTGAGTTTATGTAAGAATTTAGCAAATCGCTTCACTTACTTTCTGTCCTGTGGGTCCACATCGCAGAAAGTGACAGTAACGATAGGGTAATGTCGTCTGAAGAACAGCCTGAAATAGAAATGAGAGTAAGCATTAATTCTACAGCCATTTGAAGCTGAAGGAAAGTGAATCCACCCCATGGCAGCTCATCTACAGGAGCAAGAGAGAAAGTTCTGATAAGATGGCAGGAGGTCACAGTACTGTATGGCCTGGATGGGCTCTATATTTCTAATACCCAAAGCTGACGAAATCCTCTTGGTAGAGATTTGCTAGGTGGCTCAGTGGCTAAGACGCTAAGCTTGTTGATCAGAAAGGTCGGCGGTTCGAATCCCTAGTATAGGTCTCCTGCGTGAGCAGGGGGTTGGACTAGATGACCTCCAAGGTTCCTTTCAACTCTGTTACTGTTACTTTGAGAAAATGTCCTGACCCTTTTTAATACCTTGCACATATTATTATTTCATTCGATGTGGCCATCATAGAGAACTCTGCAACATGATACTAAGAAATACTGTAGTGAAATGAAGAATGCGTTGAGGTACTTGTCATTAAGAAGATACTAGTTTTGGATGCACTCAGGCTTCTCCAAACCCTGACCCTCCATCCTGTTCCCTTACTTCCTCTGGTTGTCTGTCAAGGTGATGCCTTGTGTGGAGACTTTAAAGTGGACAATAGTAGCAGAGGGAGGGATATCGGCAGCCAGTGTCTCAGTGATTGCTTTGGCGATGGCCTGAGGGCCTGTTAATGATTCCATTTCCACCGAGTTTATAAACAGCACGTTGCAGGCTGTGGGAGAAAAGAGGAAAATTGAGGCCAACATTTTTGGTAAGGTAGAATGAAGAATAAGTACAAACATGGAAGCATACAACACACTGCTGCTTGAACTACAAGGAAAGCAACGTGTATCAACATTCCTCTTTGGTTATGCGAACCAAAAATTCTACAAAGAATATTAATAATTCAACTGATGAATGTTAAGCGAGGGAAGAGTTGGTGTATATATGTCATGATTTTCTCTTTCATAGGAAACAATAGTAAGAACTTAGTACCTGGCTGCATTTCACATTATTTCCATTTTTTTTCAGTGTCAGAATCAGAAACAGTTTGTGATGGGTAAGTTTAACACAAGACTCCCACTACTCAGAATAAATCTAAATCAGAAATTCAATTCTGCCCTCACCCTTAGGAAATTTTTCCTTAATCCTAGGTTGCTTCTCTCTTTGGTTAGTTTCCATCCATTGTTTCTTGTTGTGCCTTTTGGTACTTTGGAAAATAGATTGATTCCCTCATTTTTGTTGGAGCCCCTCAAATTTCCTGACAGAACAATTAATCAGTGGAACAACTTGCCTCCAGAAGTTGTAAATGCTCCAACACTGGAAGTTTTTAAGAAGAGATTGGATAATCATTTGTATGAAATTGTGTAGGGTTTCCTGCCTAAGCAGGGGTTTGGACTAGAAGACCTCCAAGGTCCTTTCCAACTCTGTTATTCTATTCTATTCTAAGTATTGGAACAGTACTATTTTATTTTGCTATTTTATTGTGAGTTGAACTAAGGAGAAATTTCCTAAGGATGAGACCAATCAAGTTGGCCACGCCCACCCAGTCACATGACCCATTTTCCAGAGAAAACACTGGGAGCCACAAAACCTGGGTAGGTGTGGTCGTGGGGGGGGGTGTCATATGACTGAGTGGGAGTGACATTGAGTTGGCCATGCCCAGCCACTCACATGACCACCCAGCCATACCCAGCCACTCACATGACCACCAAGCCATGCCCACCGAGCCACACCCACAGAACGGGTAGTAAAAAAAATTGAATTCCACTACTGCCTCAAACCCAGCTCCATGAGGTAATGGGCTCAGATTAAGTGGTTGGTCTAGTGATTCAGTGAGGTTTCTTGGCTTTATATGAGTTTGAACCCACAAATTCTTGGCAATAATCTAACATCTTAATCATTTAGGGTGCCTTTGATTTTCATTTCAGTTTATTCAAAATGTGTAATCTTAAATCGCTCACCTGCTCCCTGTTTGAGCAAATCAGTTGCTGAGCTGCTGGATGATGTTGTTTCTTTTGTTTCATCCATAGGATCTTTAAATAAAAACACAGAGAAGGTTATTGTCTATAAATACACATCTATGTTAATTTTCTGTATTATGTCTAACAATCTATATTTATGGAGAACTCTCTTTATTTTTCAGATTTCTGGATCTGAATAAAGGGGTGATAACTAAGTTAACTTTAAAAGGGAATGTCTTGATTTACAATGCAGGGATCCAAAGACAGTATATTTAAATATAATTATTATTATTATTTTAATTTTTATTAATTTTAATTACAGTAGTAAAAATTAATACAAACTAAACTTTGAAAAATAGAAAATAATGCAAAGAATGAATAAAAAGCACAGGAAAAAAGAAAAAGAAAAAAGAATATAATTAAGTAAAAGAAAGAAATATACAAAGAAGTCACTTCCAACTTTCCTCACAAAAAGTATATACAAATTTAATAATCCTTTACTCCCTATAAAATTAAACAATAGCTCTTTATCCCATATCAGATTCCTTATCTATAAAGAAATCTATAAAACATTATCTTTTCAGTTCTGCTGTCAATAGAAAGTTTATTAACAGTGGCCAGAGTATTGCAAAAATATGTCTTATTTTGAGCTTTTAAAGCCAATTTTATGTTCCTTTCTTTTACTTTTAACAGTCTTAAATTTTAATTCAAACGTTCCATCAAATATTGTTGCAGAATTTGATTTCTCTTCAATTTTTTATCCCATTACAAAGATTTCTTCGGGCTCTTCTTGGAACGTAGGTGAAATAAGAACACATTTTCCAGGTCACTCTTTTAATTTATCATTTGTATTTCCCTTTGAATTTTTAAAAGTTCAGCCAGTTTCTTTTGTACACAAAAGCATCCTTTTCCAAATCATTCTCTTGGCCTGTCATGTGTGGTTCCACACTCTGTACTTTCTCTGCCTTTTTAGTTAGGATTTGTTCCGCATCTGTCATTCCTTAATTAACAACTTTTTGTGGTGGAATGTGATATGGATTCCCAGGAAGGGGGAACTGCATTCCAGAGGAGCAAGAAACAGTAAAGTTTGGATTTAGTTTTGTTGGGAGGAAGAATTAATGCAGCTCCTACCTAGGAATTCTCAGAGTATAACATTGATAATGCAAATAGTTTCCTTTAGCTTGGCAAGATTTCTGTCTATAGATAGGGCTCAATAAAGGAAACTGTTCAGAAGAACCTCAGTCTTTCTCAGTTTTGTAGCTTGACATTTTAAACTCAGTTTTGGAGTTTAACATAATCTATACAGAGAAGCAAACATCATTACTGATATTGTAGTAATTATTTTGGGCTCCATTCTTTAAAGTTCTCCTTTAATATATCTGACGTTATAACTATAAAGTTTTGTATTTCCAGTATTAAATGGCATCAAGAAGTTGCATATTTTCTCTTCTCCTTAAAATCTTTAGCACCCTCTAGTGTTCAATTTCTAAAATCACCACTTAAAATTCATTATTTTATTTTATTTCATTATTTAGTTTTATTATTTTTTATTATTTTACATACTTCTTAACCATCCATTTCTCTCAGAGAGGGGTTTTTACTATGATTTGCAATGGACAGGACAGAAAAAATAAATCTGTTTATTTTGACTGAGCCCGCATCATTCTAGAGTCTAGACTCAGAGAGGAACGCCGGTTTGAAAGAGGAGTTAAAGAGGCCATCTACATTAAAGACTGAATAGCCCTCTCTCCACTGGGGGATGGGGGGGCGGGATACACACCACCTATGTCCTGTTTACAATACAATCCTTTCAGCAGTTCCAAGAAGGCTACACACCAGGGGTGAAATCCAGCAGGTTCTGACAGGTTCTGGAAATTTTGAGTAGTTCGGAGAACTAGCAAATGCCACCTCTGGCTGGCCCTAGAGTGGGGTAGGAATGGAGATTTTCCAATATCCTTCCCCCAGGAGTGGAGAGGGAATGGAGATTTTGCAGTATCCTTCCCCTGGAGTGGGGTGGGAATGGAGATTTTGTAGTAGCCTTCCCCTGCCACACCCACCAAGTCACGCCCACAGAACCGGTAGTAAAAAAATTTGAATTTCACCACTGCTCCACACCCATTTGCATTATGCAGATGGCCCTGAGGACTCGGATAAACCTTCCAGTGACCTCAATGACTCTCGAAAGAATGCTAAGTAGAAGATGACTGCAAGGAATATAAATCCTTCCATCCTCCACCATTTGGTCAGAGCTGAAGAAGCTTCTTGGATGAGAAACGAAACATCTTCAAGGAAAAAACAAAGTTCAGCTGTTTTTTTGGAAGGGAAAAAAAAGCACTTTGGGGATAGTCCCTTAGTCTTTATTGCTTTTCTTAATTCTTCTTCATTCTCCTGATCTCTGACCTCCTCTGGAAGTCCCAAAAGATAATATTTTAATGGCTCTTAAGGCCTATACAAAAAAAAAATGTACATGAATGCCACAAAAATACCACTCAACTGTTATGGACTAAAAATATATCTGGCTTTCAATTAACTATGCGCCAGTAGAATTTGTTTATAGAAGATATGACAATTGCTGATGCTTTAATAAATATAGAGAGATTTTTATCTTCTGCTCCCTCATTATAAATCAGCAATCCCCAATGTAGTTCTTGCTGGGAGTGCTTGAACTTGGGGGAAGACTAACATATGGAACATTTGTGTACTCCCTTAATCATCTGATTAAAGGCTCATGTCTGTTTGAAGAAAAGGGATTTTGGGATTTCTAATTGGGTCATCTTGACCCAAGTAGGAATTTCAAAGAAGTTTTCTGTGTCACTGTATCTAGAGAACAGATCTCTCTGCCTTTATTAATTATATTCTTGAGCTGTAGTGCAGAGGTGAGAATTCTGTTCACTGACACATGCTCTGTGAAACAAATTCCCAAGAGAAATGCCAAATATTTTCATTAGAAATTGAATTAAATTATTTATCTCAACTTAAAGAGCCGAGGTGGTGCAGTGGTTAGAGTGCAGTACTGCAGGCTACTTCAGCTGACTGCTAGCTGCAGTTCAGCAGTTCAAATCTCACCGGCTCAAGGTGGACTCAGCCTTCCATCCTTCCGAGGTCGGTAAAATTAAGACCCAGACTGGATATGTGGGCAATATGCTGACTCTGTAAACTGCTTAGAGAGGGCTGTAAAAGTACTATGAAGCAGTATACAAGTCTATGTGCTATTGCTATTGCTATTGCTATTCCCTCAATATGATCAGCTGCCGCAATGTTTATTTTTGTCATTTCCATTTTTTTTCTAAAATATTCTGTTGTTGCTATTATGTTTATTGTATACCATTTTGGTGTTTTAATTACAATGGATATTAAATATTTTACATAAAAAAATAAATAATACCTGTGTGCACATTTAGCAATATCATCGCAGTATCTCCTAAATCCTCATGAGTTCTTTCAAACTGTGTTATTATAAGTCACCCCCAGGAATCCTCCTTAGAGAATGAGGCCTTAAGAGCCTCATGAGTGAACATCCAATTGTTCAGTTTAGGCAGGTATAGAAATACTTTCATGCATGGAAAAATCTCAATGTGCATAAGTAATCTATTCAAGAGTAAACTGCAACTTGTGAGCAGTCCTTTTTACTGGGTTAGCGTTTGAAGATTTACAACTGGGCTGGTTGGGTAAGATACAAATTATCATAAGTACCCATAATGGCAAAGAAATGATGGTGCAAGGAGAGAGGTAATGAATTATGGGTTTTGCAGTGATAACACATTATATTATCTTCCCCCCACCCCATCCTTTCCCTATCATTTTTGCAGATGCCCTCCGATATATAATCAGCAGATTATAGCAGTGGACTAGTGCTGAAACAGTATTTGGCATCAGCTTTCCTCTTCTATGCATGCAGCGTGGTTGCTAATTCTGGAATAAAAAAACATTTCTGTACCTGAATCCCTAAGACTACACAACTGACTCATAACACAATACACTCTACCTAATCTCTGTTCCCTTCCATTTGCAGAATATTCTTGCTGTTGCCTCTAATTTTTCTGAAATAAAAGTTGACTTCAAATGTTGTTGGTGTTGTCCCTGTACTTGCCAGGATGAAATATTCTATAAAATGACATTATGCCCATGTAATAATGTGAGGAACTTTACCTCTGTCAGGAATGACCAGCTTACAAGGCAATGCCAGAGGCATGATTGAGTGCTGATACACCAGAGCAGAGAGACAACCTAGAAAGAGAAAAAGAAATCTGGTCAAAGTTAAAAGATGTTTTCCTGTCATGGCACCTCTTTTTTGGGACATTAACCACCCAGAGATTAAATTAAGCCCAACTCTGATGGCCTTTTGTATGGCTTTAAAAACCTGGTTACACCACCGGGCATATATAACAGAGTTTAAGGATAGTTGCAATATTGTATCAAACCTTTTTTTCTAACCTGGTTGCAGTTTACGTATTTATTTGGGATGTATTCACAGCCCAGGGTCACAACACTAAGATAGATAACCATATAAACTGAGATATTTGTTTATTTAAATTTATTAGGGCTGCCCATTCTAAAAATAATAGCTACATATTTATGAAGCACATTTCTCTGGCTGTATTCTGCATGGTGTGAGCATTCCTTGCGGATGTTCACACAATCAAAATAAATGGGATATTCACTAAACTAAGCTTCAATGCTCAGAGACTCATTTTAAAGCCTATCGGTTACATTTCATTTTAGTTGTATTAATCCCACAAAATTCTGTGGCAATCCATTGTTCAAAGCAGAATCAAGAAATATCTGCATACAGTCAATCGGCAAACTTTGGATAGTGCAATGGGCGGCATATAAACTGAATGAATGAATGAAATAAATTTTATAGACTTGTTTATTTTAGTTATATACTTCCCAGCATCCCACAGTAAAAGAGATGGGAGTTTTTAAAAATTTTATTAAATAAATAAATAAACAAGCAAGCAATAAGCAAGCTATACTTGGTATCACATGGAATAATTCATGCTGGCAAAGAAAGAATATTTAGTTTCATTTGTGACAAAGAATAATTCATCACATTAATTTAGAAGAGTGAAAGGCTGAGAATATTTGCAGAGAAATGAAAACAATACCTCTGGCAAGACAACGAAATTAAATGACCTCAATACAATACACGCAATACTAAACAGTATCACTGCAACTGTGTCATGTTCATTTATGCTTAAAAGAAATGCATATTGTACCATAATACTTTCTGTTTTTGCAAACAACCCTGACTGAGTTTCTGAGTCTTCAGAAGTTTAGACAAATTAACCAAGAAGCTTCAGTAGATTCATGTCAGTTCAATATTAATATTCCCGTTCCTTACTTGGAAAGTCTAAAAAGTTTAAAAGCAACAACACATGTTGTTGCTATACATTCCACAAGAGGGCAGGATAAGACAGAAGTTGTGGAGACAAAATTGTAGGCACTCACCAAAATTGGGTTCATTGGGACATCCTTTTAGTTTCACACCTTTAGGGCTGGTTTCTATCAGGAAGTGTCTTACCAGTTCATTGGTGATATCTCCTAAAGGAATCAATTAGAATTTTAATATAGATGGCTTGTAATATAAGACCCTGTCTTATATTTTTTTGAACCCTGAAATAAGCCTTATTACCATGCGCTCAAAAGCCTGATTGGGCTTATAATCAGAGGATGTCTTATTTGGGGGGAAACAGGGTATAAATTGCCACCTAAAAGACAGTCTAAGCTAAAGACCAGCTATTTCTAGCACAAGAAAAGAATGAGTTTGTCCCCAACAATATATTCCCTGTGTCAATGCACAGGATATGACATAGCTGTTCATTGACTTCCAGGTGCGCTTCAAGGTTTTGGTTATCACCTTTAGAGCGCTCCATGGCTTAGGACCTGGTTATTTACGGGACTGCCTGCTACCACCAATAGCCTCCCACCGGCCGGTACGCTCTCATAGAGAGGGGCTCCTCCGGGTGACGTCGGCCAAACAATGTCGACTGGCGGCCCCCAGGGGGAGAGCCTTCTCTGTGGGGGCACCTACTATCTGGAATGAGCTCCCCCTGGAGATACGGAGGATCCCGGATCTGCGCACCTTCCATCGCGCTCTCAAGACTTTTTTATTCCATCAAGCCGGCCTGGCCTAAATCTTTCCCCTTTAAAATGTAAATTTTAATTTGTTTTTAAAACTATTGGGTGTTTTAAATTTGTCTTGGCCAAATTGTTTAATTCGGTTTTATTCTGTTTTTAAATTTTGTATTTATGTGTTTTATTCTGTGGCTGTTCACCGCCCTGAGTCCTTTGGGAGTAGGGCGGTATATAAATCCAATAAATGAATAAATGAATGAATAGTTCAGATTGAGGAAAAGCTTTTACAGTGAATCAAGTTCACTTGGACTAGAAAATCTCCAACCAGTCTTATGATTCCATAAATCACAAACCCAGATTTCTCATGTCTATGGAGAAGTCATCCAAGTCATGGTTGTCCCAAAGGTGCTTTTTTCAAAAGGCAATTGGACTTTGTTTTTCCTTGCAGACGTTTTGCTTCTCATCCAAGAAGCTTCCTCAGTTCTGACTGAATGATGGAGGATGGGACGATTTATATTTCTTGCAGTCTTCTGGTCATTAGTCCTCTGGACTGCAAGGAATATAAATCCCTCCGTTCTCCACCATTCAGTCAGAACTGAAGAAGCTTCTTGGATGAGAAGTGAAATGACTTCAAGGAAAAGCAAAGTCCAGTTGCCTTTTGAAAAAAAACACCTTCCCGAATTTCTCATGCCACAGCTTTACACACTTTAGTCTCTGAGGTTGCAGAGACTGAGGTTGCATATATTTTCCTGGGATTAAAAACTGGGATTTTATATCACCCAATAGCATCTTTGCTGGCCCTAACTCAAACCATTCCCATGTGGACTGAAACTGGTTGCTGATTTGAAGGCAGCCTGCTATGCACATGTTCCAAAAGAACAAGGGGGTAGTGGGAAGTTGTGTGAATGGCTCTACCTTTCTTGCTCTGCTGTATAACACCTGGAGGCGGTGAAGCTACTTTCATGGCCAGTCCGTAGGCTCCCCGGAAAGAGTGGCTGTCTCGAATGATGAAGGCCCCTGGTTCCTTGTCTTTTAGCAATGCAATGGCTGGGAAAGAAGTAGAGCATACTATGTGAACATAAAGGGATCTAAACCTTGAATAAGAAAAACATATAAAGAAATGAATAATAGGATTCTCGGTGTAAAGAAGAAAGTGACTTACGACCAGTTTTTCACACTTGCGATCATTACAGCATCCCCATAGTCACCGATCAAAATTCAGACACTTAGCAACTGGTAAGTGTATTTATGACAGTTGCAATGTCCTGCAGTCACCTTTGGGATCACTTTTTGCAACTTTTTGACCAGCAAAGTCAATGGGGAAGCCAGATTCAGTTAACAACCATGTTATTAACTTGACAACTGGCAGCGATTCACTTGACTGTGACAGGAAAGGTCATAAAATAGGGCAAAACTCACTTAACAACTGTCTTGCTTACCAATGGAAAATTTGTGGTCAATTGTGGTTGTAAGCTGAGGACTATCAGACTATTAAATACATTACTGCTTCCCTCCCCACTCCAATCAACAAGGAGTTAGCCATAATGAGGGTACCTAATACTGTAAATCTGAAGGTTCCATGTCATTGTGAAATAAACATAAAATGTCAGGAACTAGAGAAACTTTCATACTTTTCTGATACCATTATGATTAAAGATGACAGACTCTCCCATCTTGATCATGTCCTATCCCCCATCAACATTTCTGTAAACCCTGTGCTGTAATCTTTTCTAATAGGGAAATTGTTTTGCTATTCCTAAACTTTAAAGAAATAATCTGTGTTGGCTTCAGTAGCATTTCTTCCCAGGTTTGGTAAGGAAACCCCAGAATAGGTTGGCTACTTTCTTCCATGGGGAGAGAGAAAGACGGAGGGAGGGAGGGAGGGAGGGAGGGAGAGGGAGAGGGAGAGGGAGCGCTCTGATTTTGGAGGAAGACATGCAACCTTGGAATCTTCTTCCCACCTCTTATAGAAACATCTGTATCTCATACCTCTCTAAACAGAGAGAGACCCCCATGGGCATTGCCAAGGAATAATGGGGAAAAATTATTTCCATTAAAACCCACCACCTTTAGAGCACCAGACATACTCCCAGTAGAAGGAGAAATGTATATATGCCCCAAGTTGGCATAATGAGTCCTTTACCCCACAAGAAAGGCACCAAGTCTGGAAAATAAATAAAAAGTTTTTCTATTCTACCCTGTTCAGTGTGCACTGACATGATTTTAGGTAATTTGAAAGCTCAGTAAGCTAGAGCTCTCCAAAATATTAGATGTGATTGTCCTGTCCAAAGCCATTTGGTTGGGACACCAGCTATTTCTCTGTTTCTTCTCTGATTTATAGCTCAGTTTTCTTTTGGAAAGATGAGATGAATTCACCTTTATAAGTCTCCCATATAACATCTGGAGATTAAGGTGGTTATGAATGATGTTGCCAGTTGTATAATTTGGGGAGGGGACAAAAAACAGCAGCATTCAGTGGAGAGTGGAAAATGCATATCCTTAGCAATGTCATGAATAAGGAGCAAACATGGCCCTGGCATGAATGCATGCCACCCCCTCCTTTAAGGGGGGATTTTCTCATCGACTTCTAAGATATAAATGTGAAAGCTCTTTTGTAGTTTGGTTCTGGGAAGCCTGAATTACAGCAGGGACAGGAATGACCCTGTCCCTGAGAATCTGATCTGAAGCAGCGCCAATGTTCATTCACTAACAGTCACTCTACCCTTGAAAGGGGAGATATGAAGGAAATGAGGGATGTGCCAAGTGCTTCAGCTGTTGAATGGATGAAAAGAACGGCTGTTGACAGATACATGAACTTACTCTTTTAAAGGGCTCACTCCCAATTATACGACAGGCAGCTTATCAGCACGAGCTGGGGAGAGAAGGTTGCCATCCTGAAAGCTGAAATGGGAGCCAATCTGTTTTGTACACCTTTAGACCATGCCATCCTGAACTGGGAGAGATACCCTTGCATGCTCAATTGCTAATCAATTCAAATGTAGAAGTGTACTTTTTTGACTGGAAGAAGAATAATAAAATTAAACATTCAGTTCTACAGATCTCCCTTTAGCAGACTTTGGCTGCAATGAACAAAATTTTACTTTGGACTTTAACTGCCAACTGTTATTTCTGAAAAGGTTTAGAAAATGGACAGAATTTATGTCCTTTGGGTCAACTGATGTCATTTCCATCACTGATGTTTTTATGCTTCTACATCCATTTGTGTTCATTACATAATTGATTTCTATGCAATGACACAAATTATTGCAAATCATATATTTGGGGATTTAATATAGATTTGGCTTTAGCAGATATGCCTCTCTACAAATGAACTGTTCAATCAAGGTTTTATTGTAGCTTCAATGTGATGGGAGACAGTGCCCATATTTACTTATTTTCTCTCAGTGAGTAAGTCCCATTTACCAGTCATAGCCCCTGAACTCTTATGTGCAGAGCTATATGTCAGTCAAAGGAACTGAAATATGTATCTATTAGATTTGCAGCTGATTGTCTCTATTTCCACGAAACAATGCTTCTATGAAATCTTCCTAACTTCTTAATTATATAGAGAATATCCATATTATTGAGGGAGGTGCTCACCGCTGGAAGTGGTTAACAGGATAAGAAAACCTCATCTTCATGCTGTCTGTTTTTTGTTTTGGTTTTTAAAATTTTAATTTGGGTAGTTTTAATATTTTGATACGTTTTAATTATTTTTCAATTTGTTTTATAACCTGTAAGTGACCCAAAATGACCTTATGGGGACAGTATAAAAATAAATAAAAACAAACAAACAAATAAAACCCCATTTTCTACGTGGTGGGACAAGAGAAGAAGCATGTGACACAAGGTGAGAGGGTAATCACTCTGTCTGCTCGCATGGTCAGGGGAGGGAGGGAAGGAGGGAGAGAGGGGCCTCTCCCAAGTTTGAATCCTGCAGCATACCTAAACATTGGCATTATTTTGCCAACTTGTAAAAGTAAGGTTATCACATAAGCTGCAAAAACTAGAAGAAATTAACCTTTCTTTCTATCTTGTATCTCAGAAGAACTATAGCTATCCACAGAGATCCAAAAAGAGTTATTATAAATCCTGTCACCATTGAGGGTTCTTGGAGAAAAAGTGCTCTAACAGAATATTTAGTGTTCCTCATAATTTTGTGGTTGATTTGTTTCCACGGAAACAAAAGAAAATCACATGCTTGCCAGAACTTGTTCTAACTGTTAAGGAGTTTCAGTGAGCCATAAAAAAAAAAAACACCTCACCTTGTTCTCTGGAAATCTCTGGCTTGTACCAGTATTTCGAGGTATCCTGGACGAACTTTACATTTGCTCTTGTTTCAGGACTGCTGTCTAAGAAACAGGAAAAGAGAAACAAGGAGGCACTGAACACATTTGTGCAGTAGAAATTTTGTGGACTAGATTTGTACAATATGCTCAACTTGCTTACCAAATTAGTCTATTTCTGAGTTTGCAAAAGATACTGAAAAGTACATTGACCAAACTCAGTGAGCTCACACAATTTGCATACTGACAGAAAAATTAAATCACTACAAATAACCAGGTTTGGCATACTCTATGAATGCAGCTACTAGGTCTCTAACTGAACCTAGTAACAGTTGTCAGTTGAATCCAGCTACCATGCACTCACTCCCAGTTTTAATCAGTCGATTAATTTGAGATAAATGATTTTATGAAGCTATGATGATTACTGGTAAGTTCGATAATCAATAACCTCTCCTGTAGGAAAAGGATAATAATGATGATATAGTCTTGCCAAAAACAATTAGAAATATCAATTTCATTATTTGGTGTTAAAAACCGCATCATGCAATTACTTTTATAAACAGGCCATATAATGTAATGTAAGATTAAAATTGGAAAGAGATGGCTGAGTGGAATAAAAGGCCTAGAAATTTTATAAAACAAAGCAATGCTACAAAATTTAACAATTAGCTAAAAATTCCTTTTTCTTGCCCCTCTGTTGAAAGGAAATTAATAAAACATTGGTTAAGTAACTCATACTAGCAATCCACTGCTGCAGATCAGCTGTGGACCTATTCTTCCAACATTCCAAGAACACTTGGAATGGACAAAAAATCCATAATGTATGATATTTGATATTTAGCAAATAACAGTCCTCTCTCATTGCAAAGCACATACAAAACTATGGTTATATTAAGAAAATTCTTCATGGTGATCACTCTTCATCCATTAAGTACTGACAGGAAGAACAACTAGAATGAAAGATAAGAAAGCAACTTAACACAAACTGTGGGAGCTCTTGACGGTGTTGAGGAACTTAGTTATTTAAATAATGTGTTAAGGCTTGTGTAGGAACTGGAGATATTGTGTAAACTTGCTTGGGATTCTGCTTGTTAGTTTATCTAAACTAGAACTAGCTGCAGTCTTCTGATAAATTCTGTTTTATATACTTTTTAGTTTGATATCCCTTAAAGGAAATCAAGATACCACAAAGTTGGAGAACCTTTGCTATCATCCTCTACAGGTAGTCCTTGATTTATAATCATTCGTTTAGTGACCGTTTAAAATTACAATGCCACTGAAAAAAGTGACTTATGACCATTTTCACCCTTTCATCCCCCATGGTCTAGGCCTAGCCTAAATGGTTCTTAATTGGGATTTTAAATTTTATAGATTTGGGGGTTTTAAATTGGGAAGCCAATGATTTAATTCTTTTTAATTATCTTAACTTTTGTATTGTATGTATTTTTAATTTTGGCTGTTCACCGCCCTGAGTCCCTTCTGGGAGAAGGGCGGTATACAAATTAAATAAATAAATAAATGGTCACGTGAACAAAACTCAGACTTATGATGGTTTGCAGTGTCCCAGGGTCATGTGATCATCTTTTGTGACCTGACAAGCAAAGTCAATGGGGAAGTGAGATTCACTTAACAACAATGTTACTACTTAAAACAACTGCAGTGATTCCCTTGAGAACTGTGGCAAGAAAAGTCGTAGAATGGAGCAAAACAATTGATTCGCTTAGCAACAGAAGTGTTGGGCTCAACTGTGGTTGTGAGTTGAGAACTAGCTGCATGCTTAACTCTCAAGTGAGAAAGAACATGAAATAAGTTTTACCTGGCATTGAAAATTTGGAAAAATCTGGCAGAGTATGATGAAAGGCCATACTGCTCCCACTGCTGGGACTGGACATGCCACTGGAAATGGGTGATGAAGTCTTGCCATTCACTGTAGCATAGTTGGGCAGGCTGTTTGATCGATCCCCCGATGACATCCTTCTTTTCTCAGGGAGCAATGGTTGGGGTGGGGTGGGGCTGCCCTGTCTATATACTGCCGAGTCAGGGGAAGAGGAATGTGGGCTAATTCCATGATAGTATGCAGGGGAGACAGGAAATAATGGGGTAGAGGGAGCTTGATAACCTGAAGCACTGCTCTGGCGAGACAGTGTTTGTTGCTTTTCCTCTGGAGTTGAGTACCCACATATCATATGTCGGTCCAGACTGGGACTCCCAGAAATCATGGCTGTGCTACCCCCTGCTAAGGGCTGGTGTCGAGCATGGCTTGGACTCCCAGGTGATGAAACAACAGTGCTATGGGGACCCATTAAGTGCCTGTTCATGCTTGGGCTTCCTGGAATGGCCACCATATTTGTGCTAACAGTTCTTCGCCCAAACCCTGGGCTAGGAGGAGTATTGGTAGCTACTGTTCTATGAAGGGCATGTGGGCTTCCAGGCATGACTTGGACCCCAGATGCAATGATCTGGGCTTGAGGCCTTGGATGGTTATCTTGTTGAGTGCTGGTTCGGCCATCAGGGAAGTCGGCATTCATAGAGACCGGCAGGCCCTGAGTTGATGTAGATGTATTTTGGTAACTGCTGTGTGCTGAAGGACCCTGAGAAAGATTAGTGGATTGGAAGCTGGACTCGGCAGATGGCTGGGAGGAAATGGCTATGCTGGCACTGTTTTCTGATGGGTAACTACCAATAGAGATCCTGGAGGAAACAAAGAAACATATTAAAGTACTTTATCAAAGGATTCATTCATAGCCTGGAATATCATTTGAAGTTGCAAGAACATAAACATAATGCTCCATAAATTTCTCACAAAATAAGGGGCTAAAATGCTATGGCTCTTGGAGCACAGTATATGCAGTCCTCAGTTTCATTTCCTAAGCCTTTGAGACTTATGGACTTCAGCTCCCAGAATTCCTCCGCCATCCAGCTGAGTTGAAGTCAATAAGTCTTAAAGTTGCCAAGTTTAGAGAGCCCTGATTTGGAATTCAGATAGGAAACTTGTGTGGTTTCCTTGATTTCCCTCTGGGAAAGGTAAAAGCAGATGAATGAGAGGGAGCTAAAGGAATGGAGGAAAAAGAAACTTCTTTCTCCATTCTGGTACCACCCACTGCTCTGATGTGGTTCCCAAAAGTTTTCTCCTGTGGGAATTCCCACTTTAAGTCATAGTGATTTAAAATCATGCTCGCACTTCTATCTTTGATATTCATTCAGATAAGTGACCATAATTATTTGTTTTCAGGGGGAATAGTTTCAACTGTGTTCCTCTTTCTGAAACAATATTTAAATAAAGTAACAGAACAATTGCCTATGAGGAAGTCATTTTATTTCATCTTGTAATTTCGCAGTTTATAAACCATTATGAAACCCACACAATCTATTGCAAACATTTTAGAGAGGAAAGAATTTCACAATACATTTTTGCTTATGGAGAAATGTGAACTGTGGATATCCTCATGCGGTCAAAACATATTTATAGATTTATAAACAGTTTGGTAAAATCATACTGTTGACACATAGAATCCTTTCCAGTGGGGAAAATGCTTCATAATTTTTTTTAGGAAAAAAGAAATAATGAACTAGCTGAATTTGGGCACGCTGTCCTGATAGCTAAGCATATATTACAAGAAGGAGCAAGATAACATAGAGTTATTGAAGAAGCTCTGATGAGGTTCTTACTCTATGAAACATTTCTCCGGATCATAATTGGAAACAATTTCGCATTTCCTATTTTGGGGAAAAAAAGTTCCTTCACTTTCGTAGATATCATCTTTCTTTCTTTTTTATTGTGCACATATACTGTTCTTCCTCTTGGGTCATGAGTGGATGAACGTAAGCAAAAAAAAAGGAAAAGAATATCTCTTTCCCATATTCTTTCCTCTGACAATAAAGCAAACTTTTCTCTCTCGTTTGTCTTATTCCAGTGCTACAATAATCAAAGCCATGGATAAATTGTTATTTCAGTCCTTCATTCCACTGATCTTGCTCACAGAAGGCAGTTCCATGCATCTGACAGCCTTGTCTCTCCTGCAACTTACCCGTCCATGCTATGTATAGGGCTGCTGGCAGAGGCTGGGCTAGGCAAGGTGAAAGAATTGTTGAGGGACTCATTCCTTACAGGTGTCTCAGTGCTGTAGGTCTCTGAAACCAAAGATGGCTGGAGCTTCCCAGCAATGCTGCTTCCGCTCCCACCGCTGTTGCCTGCTGCTGTATGAGCCACAGATTCCACATAGCTCCGGGGCCCTAAATTTACATGCGGGGAGAAAAACAAGCAAACATGATATCTAAGTTGCTTGAAACCGTAAACCATTTTTAACCACTAATAATCATGATTCCCTTGGAGTTAGTCAGCTAATAAATTTTAATAATAATCATAGTAATGATTCAAATTATTCAAAATACAAATTACACAAAGAAGCAGAAGAAGCAGTAGATCATATACTCAGCACACACAAGATCACACAAACTAATTATAAACAATGACATAATACGGTCACCAACATGAATCATTGGAACAGCTGTAAAAATTATCATGTGAAAGTAATGAAAAATCAGTGGGAACATAACATTGAAAAAGTAGTTGAAAAAGAGCAGGTATTGTGGGATTTCTGAATATAAATAGATATAGTCTTCATTCATAATTATATCTGAATAATTAGACATAATTATGATTATTATTATAATTATATAATAATAATTATATAATTACTAAGAAGCTCACAATGTATCAAGATCTAAACATCTAAATTGAAAGTTTATGGTATAAAATTAGCCATGGTGGCCCCAGTGGCTATCAGCACACTAGACGCCATATCAAAAAATCTTGGACAGCACTGCACATTGACAAAATGTCCGTCTGTCAATTACAAAAGGATTCACTGCTTGAATATGTATAGAAACTACACCAATACATTATAAGAGCACATAGATTCTTGGGAAGAACTTCATACAAATGAAGGCCAACACCAGTTAAAGGATCTGCAGCTGTGATTTCACATTTTTTGTACAGTACGTAGTACAAGTACAGTACAGTATAAAATTACATCACAACACAACATAACATAACAATAATTGATTTACCCTTCAAACCTTTTTACTCTATTTTTCTTTGCCACATAAATTCAAAGCGACTTAAACATAACAATAATATAACCAAGACAGACCAAAGTATTAAAATCAATTTAGGTACAACTCAGGTCCCCAAAATAAATCAACCTGAAGTGTGAGCTGTCACAAATTATTCTTTCTGAAAATGTTCAAATTCTTCTATATGCAAAATGAATGTGGAATCATTACTGATTCCAGAGACACTGTGGCTTCCAGAATTTCAAGATGAAGCTGCATGGATTTGTATGAAAACAGTGGTCTCTTAAATTAGTCACAAATACAAGGACCGCTGTTACATGAGGCTATTTTAACTGTTGTTTGAAGATAAACTCAGGTATATGCTGCATCTGCCTTATGATGTTCTTTGTAATATAGGCAGTCCACTGGATGATTTCCTCTGAACCTCGAACTAGGTAAAAGGAATGTAAACTATATAGGATAGTATTGTAAATAGTATGCTGGGAATATCCTTAACACATCTAAGATGGAAACCAGTTAAATAAGGGCACAATTTTATGAAGATGAAGCAAGATTTGGGAACCGGGGAGATCAGACTGGTGGCCAAGCTTTCTCCTGATGTGTCCAAGGTTGACTTTTGCCAACTGGCAGAGGAGGCAGGGAAGAAGAGAAGGAAAGAAAATGAGGATGAAGAAGGCTGGGCTGAACATTCTGTGAGGCCAAAGCCCAGGACAGTTAGCTTGGCCAAACTTAGAAAGGCCATAAAAAATGGGAAAACTTTGGTGCTAGGCTGAAGTGCAACCTCAAAAGGCTCGCAATGTGTATAATGCGCCAGCATGCCACTTAAAGTAATTACATCTGTTGCTGCTACACATTTCCAGCTCCCCTCCCTATCTAAAAATAGCATGGTTAGGCATTAGCTTGCAAACTAATGAGAAACTTCTGGGAGAGCCAAGACCTCTATGAAATGGAAAAAGGAAAAACAAAACAAACAAAAAACTGTTCTTGTTTATTGCAAAGCTACTAAGTTCAAAGATTGCAGGAAAAAAATCCAACAAGGAGGAACGATAGTAGGTTGAAATACACTATTTGTTTCTTTCTCATGTATAAAAGTTAAGGGTCATCTGCTCACTGTTTAGAGTATTTTTTTTCTTTTGGAATGTTTTTCTTGGTCTGATAAGTACACTAAAATCTTGTTCAATGTGCACTAAAGCATATACCAGTACTAAGCTCCAAACTTCAGCTGCCTGCAAATTATTGGAAGATAAATGGGGGGGGGGGAAACTTCCCTAGGATTAATTTGAGCAAGTGAACAGTTTGTTGTGTTGTACAGCAGAACCTATGGAAAGAGTCTAAAGCAGCGTTTCTCAACCGTAGTCACTTCAAGACTGTGGACTTCAACTCCCAGAATTCCCCAGTCAGCCAATTGAAGTCCACAGTTTTAAATTAGCTATAGTTGAAAAACATTGATCTAAAACTGGGGTGTCAAACTTGTGGCGTTACATTGTCATCACATGACATATTGCAACTTTCCCCCCTTTCGCTAAAATGGGGGTGGGCATGGCCAGCATGTGAGACATCCGGACCGCAAGCCATGAGTTTGACAGCCCTGATCTAAAGGGATGACTAATAACATTTTAACTACACAAATTATATTCTGCCTCATTTTTTTTATCCTATTAACAAAAAAATAAAAGTGTATCTAATAATAACAACACTCAAAATACAATAGAATCTGGTGCCATCTTAATTAATAAATCCATTATTACAGCATAAACGTTCATACTTTTAATCACCTGCATCGGATTGTAGGTGGTAGCCCTACATGAAAACTTATTCTGCAATAAATATTTCCTAATATTTTTATTTACCATAAAAGCACAATTTCTTCCTGTAGCACACTGATGTTGTGAAGATATAATCAAAATATAGGCAATTTTGCTAAAACCCAGATCTTCAGCTTGACTATACTAATGGTGGAACTCACATTCTCCAGATATTGTTGAATTTTAGTTCACAAAAACTCCAGTCAGCATTGGAGAGCCACATATTCCCAATTTCTCCCATCTGCAAAAATTGTATATTCATAGAATCATAAGGTTGAAAGAAGGCATAAAGCCATCAAGGCCAATTCCTTGCCCAGTGCAGCCATTTTCTCTAAGTTATTGTTTTGAATTTTAGATCTGTATTCTATGAAATTAGCTATTAGCTCCAACATAATTTTAGATCAACTGCAGAGTTGATAAGCAATCCCTCACACTCTACATAGAATAGGGGTGTCAAACTGGCAGCTGCAAACCGGATGCATCGCGCGCAGGCCATGCCCACCCCAGCTCCGCGAATGAGAAAAACGTGGTGAAACATTACGTGACAGGAACGTGATGCCACGAGTTTGACACACGTGACATAGAACATAGAATAGTAATAATCCAAGTTGTTAATAAAAATGTTGAATAGTATAAGATTGAACATTAAATCTCCTGGCATCAATTGATGAAGGACAATTGATGATTACTTATCAACACAATTTTTTAACTATCTAGATATCTACTTGATTGACCCAACATCTTATCCTTTAATATCCTTTTCATAGTGGTTATGATTAAAGAATGGAAACTGGCATGTTTTCCCCATATCTTTAATGGTGCTTGGTAAATGGATTGGAGATTTTTTTTAAAAAATGCCATATTTAGCAAATATAGCAATAAAGAACCTTTGAAGCAGGCGGACTGTGGAATCAATGAACGTTTGCTATTTTATTTTTTTTTCGTTTTTCTTATTTGCTTAGATACGCATGCTATACCTTGCAAAAAATTCTGGGGTTAGCGTGTTTGTGGAGTCCCTATTGTTGTTTTAAAATTGTTATGATTATTAATTAATCTGGGTGGTTATGCTTCATTGTTATTATTTTAATTGCATAATTAGATATTGTTAGTCCCTCCACATTTTATGGAATAAGTGCCCATAGCAATTTATGGACCATTAATGATAATGGTCATCATCATCATCATCACCATTATCATTATCATCTATTCTGAAATAAAATCAATAGGAAGGTTTTAAAAAGATGTAAAATTGGATTATGTTATTAGACTAACAAAGTCTTAGCCAAGGATGCTAGGTCTCTCAGTGTAGATTGCCACCTTAAAAAGAAAAATAACAACTGATTTTTCAATATGATCTGACCAACAGTATTGACTAACTTCCATAAATTTTGTCTCAGCAATCTATAATGATGCGGACATCCTGTTCAAAAAATATTTAGGATTCTATTTTGGTTTATTTGGAATACCTAAATGCAGCTGCTTTCCAAAAGATTAAGTTGTATCCCAGCTGTGTTCTGTCCTAAACAACTTCTTAAAAATGTAAATTCTTGCCTTGGCTTTTTGTTTATATAGATTTTCTTGAAGCCAGCAGTGGCCTTGCTTGGGGGTGGAAGAAGAGAATAATTAATAAGAATGCTGATTCCTTATATAGTTGCAGAGGAATGACTAAATATGAACTCTACTAAGAGAATACAGAATGTCTTAAGGCAAACTGCACCTGAAGCTGAACTGTGGCTTAGTTTCCTACCCCTATTCCCTTTCTATTTTTACTTATTTTTATAAAATGTAACTACAGGAACCTTGTATGAGGGGGGGGGAGGAAATGTAGCCATTGTTTTTTAGCATGGTGTTATTTGTGGGAAGAAGCAGGGAATAACAGCAAAATTTAATGGATGAGTAAATGCCGCTCTATACAGTAGGGCTTAACCCTGAGTAAACCTGCATAAAATTATATCTGAATTACTCTGGTTAATACTTCACAATCCCTATCAGAATTCTCAATGTGTTTAAACCAGTGGTGGGATCAGGGCCGGATTTAGATGAAAAGAGGCCCTAGGCTATTCCACTTATGAGGCCCTTTCACCTATAGTGAAAGTGTAATTTTAATTTTGCTAACATTTGAATGTAGGCCCCTCTTGATCTTGAGGCCCTAGGCTGAAGCCTAGTTAGCCTATAGGAAAATCCGGCCCTGGGTGGGATTCAAAAAAATTTACTACCAGTTCTGTGGGCATGGCTTGGTGGGAGTGGCTTGGTGGGATTGGCAGGGTAAGGATACTATAAAATCTCCACTTCCACTCCATTCCAGGGGAAGGATACTGTAAAATCTCCATTCCCTCCCCACTCCAGGAGAAGAATACTGCAAAATCCCCATTTCCTCCCGATCAGCTGGGACTCGGGAGTCAGAGAATAGATGGGGGCGGGGCCAGTCAGAGGTGGTATTTACCGGTTCTCCGAACTACTCAAAGTTTCCACTACCGGTTCTCCAGAACTGGTCAGGATCTGCTGAAACCCACCTCTGGTTTAAACGTATAAATGCTAAGTTTCTTTAAAGCTGATGATCTGCTCAATGAAATACAAAGATTGCTGGAAAAAGTAACCCATAATTTTGGAAGAAATACTCTTTTAGGGTGTGCCTTTCATCATGTTACAGCTGCTACATCTGTGCAAGTTAGTCCCATTCAAAGATGGTAACATAAGCAACCATACCACAACCATCAGTAAATAAGGGCAGGGATAGAAGGACATTCATTCATTCATTCAATTGGTATGACTGCCCATCTTATCTACCAATACCATAGCTGGCTCATGGAAAGATCAAGACATTGCCCAGCTAATGTCTAATCAGGCCTAACATTTCTTAGGATAATGTACATAGATCAGGGCTATCAAACTCGTGGCCCATGGGTCGGATGCATCACACGCTGGCCATGCCCACTCCCAGTTTAGCGAAGGGGAAAAAAGTCATGATACGTCACATGACGCCACTGTGAGGACGCGAGTTTGACACCCTGTCATAGATAGTTGGGAATAACTAAACTCACTGCAGGTATATGTATCGAGAACTCCAGTACTCACTTTACAATCAACAAAACTGGAAGAGTTTTCTGGAAAGCTTTAAGTGGTAAATATTAACTAAGACTGAAGTTCATTCACCAGAAGTACTAACTCTGCAACAGGAAATTACCAAATGGTGTCTACTAAACATTCAGATTAGTAGAACTAGAATATTTACCTAGGAAATATTTTAGAAGAAGGAAAAGCAGTCTGCCCGTGTTTACATCAAGGAGATGGAAAATATTACCCTTAGATAAATAGTACTTTCCCTGCCATTTCTCTGTCAACATTTATTTGAGGTTAATGCGTGCATACAGCAACCCTTGAACACTCTATGATGCTATTGAATCTATGACGAACATTTTGTTTTGTTTAGCCTTTCGACACACCCACAGCAAGCCAACCAGATATTTTGGCAAGTGAAAATTGTTCCATCCTTTCCACAGTTCTTCCAAAGTGTTCTAATAGGCTGAAAAGAATGACCTCCTTACCTTGATCATATTCAACTACTGTTTCCCCATCTGTGGGGCAAGGAAAGAAGGAAAAGAAAGAAACTGATATTAGTAAGCTTTTGCTAAACAGTTAGGAGTATTGCAATACCTGGGCCTGATGAAAATATCTTCTTTATTATATAGTGGAAGACTTGCAAGTTATTATTATGGAGGCGAGCCATATATGCACTACACAATTTGTATTGAATGCTTGCAAAATAATTTTATGAAAAAAATACAATCTACTGTCAATGAGGCTCATCTCTGGTTAAAGTTTCCTTTGTCTTCAGAAAATTCTACCCTGTTCTTCAATAAGCTCAGGAAAACAGTACTTGGATTTAGAATTCTGGGTATCAGAGAAAAATAATGAAGAGACTTGATTTTTAAAACAGGTTTTGTCTATGTTTTTATACTATGCTCCTTTAAGCCACTACAGTACTTAGTAAATAAAAGCAATAGCTCTCTGGGTCTATCCAAAAATTAACAGGCATAAATATGCAAAATAATTATTGGAGAAAAATAACCTGATGCCCAAGAATGAGAGTGACAGCTGTCACATACTGTAAGGCTGAGACAAATCTCCTTAAAAAAAGCAGTTGCAGAAGTGTTAATTCTGTTTCCCTCTTCTCCGATTACTACATAATCCACTCCATTCTAGCAACCTGCATTTATAAGGTATACAAACATTTGTCTTTATTTTACCTTAAATAATATTCAACCAGAATTGTGCATTTTTGTATGCATTTTAAAGTATAAAATGCATTCATTTTTATGCATCTTTTGGCACATTTTTTTAAAGATTGCGTCAGAGAGATTTACATGGTTAGTAATGTATGGACAGGAAGAACTACCAAAGCACAAATTCCCATTTTCATATAGATTCCAGATGTTGCAAGTTTCCTGATTGACTCCCGCTGCTCCAACTGAAATTGGATTCAAACAGATTTGATGTCAGGAAAGCCTCAATCAATTTGAGAGAAACTTTTCTATCCTTGAGAGGAACGTTCTTTCCCCAAAAAAGCAACTTTTTGGATGAGCTTATACCCTGTGCTACTCCAAAAGCCCAGACCAATGTAACAGCTAGGAAGGCTTATTATCAAATGCAGATGATGTACCATTGGGTTGCAACAGATTCTACATGGGGACACCCTTAAAAGAAGAATAGGAAATTGCATGAAGTCCAAAATAACAGCAACAAGACTCCATCTAAGATATCCTACTGGGAGCATTTAACATCTCTTTTAGGTCAGTTACATTGATTTCCCCTTGTATTCTATGCCAAATGCAAACTGCTAGTTTTTGCATACATATTGCTGTATAGCTCAGGACCTCTCTACTTGAAGGAACAGCTTCCTCCTTATATTGTTACCTAACAGAGTTTCATTCTGCATGTAAACCTTCTATGGCTGATGAAAGAGGCTGTCTGGAATGAATTGGCAACAGGGCCTTTTTGGTGGCAGGTCCAATATTGCAGAATGTCCTTTCGGAATCAGTTTATCAATTTTTTTTATGTTTTAAAATATTTTGTTAACGTTTATTAGCATTCCTCCACCTCATAGTTATGCTTATTTTTCTGCCGGGTTATAATTGTTGATCCAAACAATCCTAACCATTTCTAAATTGTCCCTGGTGTATTATTTAATGTTTTTGTTATTATCACGCTATTCCTTTGATCTCGTTTGAGACATGTTGTTGGTGTATTATTTTCATTCCTGGCTCTTATTAGTTGGGAGACTAAGGTATATAAATTAACAAAATAAACCAGCAAATAAGTATCCTTCCTCTATCATGTTAATTGCATTTTAGTTATGCCATAAAGAAGTCCCTCAAGAAATAAAACCCAGAAAATATTAATTAGTTTGTGGGCTTCTTGTGGGATTTGTGTCATTTAGCTATGGATCTGATAAGCTACTTGCCTTGCCCTTGGCTATGTGACTAAGCAGTCAGCTACAAAACTGATTTATCTGAATATCCAGTCCAGGATTTAGGCAGAAAGTGCAGAGCAATTAGCAGAGCATGTTCATGAATACCAGCTAGCAGTCAGAAGACAATATGAAAACTCCTTAATCTCACAACTCATGGACAGACTCAACCACAGTTTCTGCTGGGAAACTATGTGCATCCTAGACCAAGCTAAATCCAAAAATCTTCATGAATTCCTGGAAGCTTCGCATTCAGACAAATCAGCCATCACAAATCAGCCAATAGACACACAGAACCAAACAATATTTACACACCATTAAAAAAGACCCTAAAAAAGCTAAGGAAACTAAAAAATCAGAACACATCTTCTTCAGCAGCCAATATCCAGATAAGCAGGGATGAACACCAGATAAGTAGGCAAGTAGAAAACAATGCTCTAATCGAGGAACACTAAGGAGAAAACATCCCCACCAACACTTGAAAAGCAAGATACTATACCGTGTTTTCTCGAAATTAAGACCCTGTCTTATATTTTTGAACCCTGAAACAGGTGCTTGGCCTTATTTTTGAGGAGGTCTTATTATTTTGGGGTGTGTGGAGCAAGATAGGGCTCCTCTTGCTGTCTTACCTGATTTCCAGCTCTGCATTTAAATATTTTCAGGAGGGCTTATTTTCAGAGAGAGGCTTATTTTACTGCATGTGCTCAAAAGCCCGATTGGGCTTATCAGGGGATGTCTTATTTTTGGGGAAACAGGGTATATATATAGACAGGATACAAACTCCACATTCATTTGCACTGCTACTGTTACCAAGCCGGGTAATGAAATGTCTGCAAGCAAACAACCAAGGTGCCTTATTGCTGTTACACCAACTTTTCCATTGTATTAATACTTTCACTTACCTCCTGTCTGATGCAACAAAATCTCTGCTGGATTATGAGGTTTCAGCCCCAGTGCTGAAAGTGGAGTTTTAGCCAATCCTGGTGGAGAGCGCACTGTTTCAGATATACAGAAAGAGAAAGAAAAAAAGAGACAAATCAACAAACCAGAAAATGAATAGATTCATTAGTAAAAAAGCCAAACATTGGTTTGATGCTAATTACCAGGACAGAGCAAAATCTAACCAAGATTTTAAGAATAAATGGTTTGCTGGAACTGATGAATGTGGTTGTCCTTCTGAAACCACAAGAGAACTGGCCCTCATCGCAGAAATACCTCTGGCTAAGAAACCGCTTTTCTTTTGAAGAAAAGTGTACATTCTTAAGACAATTGAGGTGGCCATTCGACATAACAAAAGAGCAAGAGTGTTCTTGGTATATTGGGAGTAAAGATTTATTAATAAGACGATCTCACCAATACTGGTTGTGAACTTTTGACAAAAGCCTCTCTCAGGCACAGCTGCTTCTACTGATCTTTTACTCTTAGCAGAACTGATAAAAAACACCCTGGGCTATTGTTTGCCTAATATATGCCATACATTACTATGCCTTTAACATCATGGCTAATAGAAAAAGAGACAAGGAAGAAAAAAAACTAGGTGTCTATACAATTCCAGTGTGATAAGACTTTCGGCAGGGCATAACTTATACCCATCCGAAGCAATCTGCTTCCCCACGTTTTAATAGTATACAAATGTTACCATAACAATAGCACTTAAGACTTATATACCATACCCCATAGCGCTTTACAGCACTCTCTGAGTGGTTTACAATGTCAGCATATTGCACCCAACAATCTGGGTCCTCATTTTACCGACCTCAGAAGGATAGAAGACTGAGTCAACCTTGATTCTGTCGGGATCGAAATCTAGGCTGTGGGCAGAGTTTGCCTGCAATACTGCATTCTAACCACTGCACCACTAGGGCTCCATGTTATTTGTATCTCACCTCTTTTCCTGACATCTACATATTACATTACTTCTAATACCAAGAATATAACTGGAATGGTCTCTTCCATATTTAGCCGCATCAAACATCAGACATCAACAATTTAGTCCTAGTGATACGGAATTTAGAGTATACACTGCAAAGTAGGACAGGGCTGAAGCATACCTGATTTTCCTGGATTGCAATTAATTGCAATTTCCTAACGATATCCAGAGAATGTACACATCCTCATTTCCATTTCTCTCATTTATAAAAATTCAGAATGCTTTCACTTGGCTTTCTTAAGTATCCTTCCTATTAGCAGCTGTTTAGGAATTTACAGAACAATGCAAAACACAATACCTATCGATTTCCAGATTATTCTTTACTTGCTTGGTATGAACCATAAAAAAGAAAACATTCTTGGCAATAAATGTCCATAGCCTGCCCTTCCCATTGCCAGTATGTTTGGAAAATGTCCATGAATGAATGGATGACATCATCTCATGTCACAGTTTTGCCCAAAGGCAGATATGGCATCTGCAAAGATTATGATCATGAGACAGAGGGACCACAAGCACTTCATCAAGGCATTGTATATCATAAATAGCAACATCATATACACAGCTGCAGAAGTCTATATTTATAGCATGTACATCAACAAAATATTTGCACAATTACATCAATGTGGATCAGATTTTATGCCTTCCCAGTTTAAAAGGAGAACAACATGTAGGCCATTCTTGCATATATACCCGTAGTAGATATGCAGCAAGGAGCAATGAAGGAAACAGATGCAGATGTATATGTGAGATGTGTTTAAAACAGCAAGTCTCACAAAAGTACTTTCCAGCCTTCCTTATTTCTTTCAATTGCTGGTTGTGTTTGGTGCTGACAATTCTAAACAATTCAGGCTTTTTAATTGAAACTCTTTAAAGAAAAATTAACTGGATGGAAGCAAACAAATGAAGAATTTTTGTCTGGATTGGGGGGAAGTTTAACACATTTTTTTCATGAGTTGAATTGCAATCATCTGACTTACGGCTTCAGATGGGCACCCACGCAGGGGCTCACAGCAGGAGGAGAGAGGAAGGTAGGCAGGCACATTAAAGGAAAGCCAGTTACCAAGAGCTTGCATTTCATCATGGATTAGCTTGGCTGACTAGCATTCACTGCTAAGGGCCAATGAGCAAAGGGGAAACAAGCAAGTTCATGTCCAGGATATTAAGTAACCCAGATTCTCAAACAGTGTGTATACCATTGCATTTTTGTTCTCAAACTCTGTAAGTCTCACACACTTTAGTTTGCTGGTGAAGAAGACAAATCTTCATCAAATAGTTCACAGAAGAGTTAGAAATATTCATATCGAATACTAAAGACAGTTTTGGCCTGTTATTTTAAGAATAATTTAAGATGGCATCTCTCTTACCCAATAAATCCTATAAAATTATAGCCTCTAATTTTCAATTCCTGGCTATGATGAGTGTGAATTTGGGGAATTTTAATCTAACATGTCTGGGGAGCACAAGGCTAGGAAAGGGAGCTACCGTAGTGGCCAAAATTGTGGAAACATTTTGGGAAAAGTGTATTTTCTAAAACTAGCTAATAACTCCACTTTTTTTTTCAATAGTACCATAAAATTATATACCAAAGGAAAGATAATTTAATCAAGAATATAATGCAATAACTTTTATGAAGAATTTGCTACTAGAATAGCAGTTACAGTATAAAGAAGAAAAGTGAAACACATAGAAAAAAAATGAGATATACAAAAATGATCACCAGTTCAGTGAATACTTAGTTGGGTAATCTTTAGCATGAACTACGGCTTTTAAACGTCTTCCCATGGAGTGAACCAAGTCTTTTAGTTCTGCAGCTGTTATAATGTGAAACCAAGATTGAATGATTGCTTCTATTAACTGGGTTTTATTGCTGGGTCACTTCTGACTAACAAGTTTCTTTAGTTGGCACCATAGATTTTCAATTGGGTTAAGGTCTGGGCTATTCCTGGGCCATTCCAGCAGTGGAATATGATTATCTTGAAACGCCCAAAAAAAAGTGGTGATATTAGACATCAAACTTCAAAAATACACTTTCCCCAAAAGGTTTCCACAATTTTTGCCACTACCGTAACTAACTTGAAGCAGAATGGATGTTGTCCCTAAGCATATCAAGCAAGGGGTAGTGTTATAAAAATTATAGCCTTACACACACTTATCTGAGATTAGGTTTTAGTGAATTAATAGACATTAAGTAAAACTCCATGGGATATGGACCACAGAAAGCAATGAATAGGTTCAGTAAAAACTAGGTTGGCCTGATGGCATTTGTGCTCTACTAATGATAGTAGAGAAATGTCCCTGAGAATGTCTGGAGACCCTCCAGAGGCTTCTGCTCTAGCAATGGGCTGCAAGCCAAGCATATCACACAGTCCAGGCAATCTTATATTAATCTCTGTTAGTTTGGGGGACTGGCACAAAATCAGAATGTATGAACTTGTAAGAATCACTCATGGTCCTGGTCAACCTTGGAAAAGAGTCAGGTCCTTTACATGTCAGGATGCCAGGAAAGAAGACAATATGAGGGGAGGGGGGAAAAAAACCCACACCTGATCTTATTCTTTAACCCCCATTAAACCTGGGAAATTATTCACGTGCTGGTTACTTTTAATTTTCAGAATTGTGCTCATCTTAATACTACTTAAACATTCATATGTTATGATTCACGATGTATCGGGAGGAAGGATAGCTTTTTAAAGATGTCATATTTAAGATCTACAAGTTTTCAATTAATGCTAATATCCAGCACTTTGACGTTTTGAGAGGTTGTTCAGAAAGAATCCAGTTATTTAAAGAAAAAGGTTCTTCTACTCTTTGTGGAGTCTTTGCTCTTTCCCAGTTGCTTAGTGGCTCATTGATGTTTGTTCATGCTTAGCCATGTTAGCTCTGCCCCGATGAAATACTGGCAGAACTGTTCAAAGCTAATGGATTTTAAAAACCCACCACCAAGATACCAAAGATTAGTCACTCAGAACCATGCTTGATCAGAAGGGGAAGAAAAAGAGGGCATGCAAGAGGTAGGTTCAGATCAGGTTCTCACCAACATCTTTCGGCAGCTAAATGAGATCTAATTCTGATCTGGGCTGTTATGCCTTCAACTAAAGCAGAAACAGCTACAGAATCCATACCAGATGTGCACGGACTAAGAGAATGAGCTTATTTAAGTAAATTGGCCTGATCTGGCTGCAAATTCAATTACTGCACTAGAGTTTGTAGAGAGGCAGCAGGACTGCTATGAATCAGTTTGTTCATCTGGTGTTCTCGCAATCATGGAAACCTGACTGGTGCACTAGGCAGTGGTGGAATTCAATTTTTTTTACTACTGGTTCTGTGGGCGTGGCTTGGTGGGCTTGGTGTGGCTTGGTGGGTGTGGCATGGGAAGGATACTGCAAAATCCCCATTCCCTCCCCACTCCTGGAGGAAGGATACAGCAAAATCTCCATTCCCACCCGACTCTGGGGCCAGCCAGAGGCGGTATTTGCTGGTTCTCCGAACTACTCAAAGTTTCCGCTACTGGTTCTCCAGGACCTGTCAGAACCTGCTGAATAGCACCCCTGGCATGGAGGCTCGCCTCTGCTCTTAAACAGCTGAAAAAATTCCAACATATTTAACAGTTGGCTCTTGCAAGTCAGTATGAGATGACTCCAGCACACCCATTGGATAAATGACATGTCTTACAGTTGAGTGTCTATGGAGATTCTCAATCACTGAGGTCATGGTTGTCCCAAAGGTGCTTTTTCAAAAGGCAAACTGTCAGAACCAATCAGAACTGAAGAAGCTTCCTGGATGAGAAGTGAAATGACTTCAAGGGGAAAAAAACAAAGAAAGTCCAGTTGCCTCTTGAAAAAGCACCTTTGGAACAGTTGAGGTTAACATAACAAGTGCCTCACATTGGCACTTGTTATGGCAGCCTAATAGAATTTCAACAGTGGAAATAACTATCTAATTACAGGAAATTGTGCATGCAGTCTTAACTGCTGTGTGGCTACATGTAACTTCAATTGGATTTATATCTTGAGTGGTACAACGTGATTCAAATGGTGTGTTTACCTCCTGAGTTTGGAGCTGCAGACAGCTATCAATATTATGGAATCAACATTCTTCCAAGAATGGCTTCTTCCTAGGAATGGCTGTTGGCATTGGAATGGAGTACTTCACATAGATGGGTCCCCTGCCCACCTTCATGATAGAAGCTTTCATTTATATTTTGGAGGATTAGGAGATGTACGGCATAATAATTGTTCAAAAGCCATCTCCATCAAGGTGAGCTACACACCATTGCTGATTGATATATTCAAAATGCCATGTTTTGTTCTACAAGTGCATTCTATAGGATGCATAGAGGCGTAAAGGTAAAGGTTCCCCTCACACATATGTGCTAGTCATTCCTGACTTTAGGGGGCGGTGCTCATCTCTGTTTCAAAGCCGAAGAGCCAGCTCTGTCCAAAGACGTCTCTGTGGTCATGTGGCCGGCATGATTAAATGCCAAAGGCACACGGAATGCTGTTACGTTCCCACCAAAGTGGTCCCTATTTTTCTATTTGCATTTTTTATGTACTTTTGAACTGCTAGGTTGGCAGAAGCTGGAACAAGTAACGGGAGCTCACCCTGTTACGCGGCACTAGGGATTCGAACCACTGAACTGCTGACCTTTCGATCGGCAAGCTCAGTGTCTTAGCCACTGAGCCACCGCATCCCTTTTTGCATAGAGGCATCACTGTGGAATAAAATGTGGAATTTTGAATATATACTTTATTTCTTAGTTATTTGTCTTGGTAACTTCATGCCTCCCCATCTAACATTGCTTATTTTATGGTAAATGTCTTTCTGCATATTAAATATTGTATGAACTGGCAAAGTAGGGCTAAATCCTGTGTACTCAGAAGGGATCTTTTAATTCTCTTCTTTTAGCTGGAAGGGCTGCCACGGGCAAGAAGGTATTGATTTATTCTCCACACTATCTGAGGGTAGGGCAAAAAGAAATAGGTGGAAGCTTGTCAGGAGGAAGAAGATCCAAGCTGGAAATAAGGAAGATTTCCTGACATTAAAAATTATTAATCAATGGGACAACTTGCCTCCTGGAGTTGTGGGTGTTTCATTGCTAGAAGAAAAGATTGGGCAACCATTTATTCAAGGTGATATGAAGATTGGACAGGGGGTTGGATTAGAAAACCTCCAAGGTTCCTTCTAGCTCTATGACTCTATGATACAAAAAGCTATTGCTCTCTGTCAGTATGCATTCCCTAAAGGGAGGTGTATATTACTGAGACATCTACAATATTTCAAATGTATGTTTAGGATATGGATAATTTTTTTTCATTTTCTCCCATCTGCAGAGTTCAGCTGACCTCCCTTCCTCCATATGCCCAACATAATACGAGACCCAGAGTAAGAATTAGCAACTATTACCTAAAATAGGATCGCCTTGCCAAAAATCATGGATTTTTCCTCTGGGGCATTCCACAGCCACACTCAGGGGTTAGGTTTAATTAAGAATGGATACCCCTTATTCTCCCTTAAATGCTGTTGGGATATTATTTTTCTACCTAGAAAGACTGTTAGTGACAGTCAAAGTAATATATGCAACAATTTGATTTTCTGGAAGCATGTAATTTTTGTTGTGGTCCGCCAGCAGCCTGCAGAGCTGGCAGCAGAGTCGGACAGTGAGGAGGCTGGGGAAGAACATGGGCCAGTCCTGGAGTCTGGGGAAGGCCCGGACGAGGGCTCTGCATCGGAGGCGAGATGGGGCCAGGGCCATCTGGGAGTGATGCGCGGACTCCGGAGCTCCCAGAGTCGGACTTCAGCGAGGCAGAGGAACAGGAGGAGCCTGTTCCTAGTGCACGTATGCGCAGAGCTGCCAGAAGGCAAGAGCAGCTAAAGCAAAAGGGATGACTCGGGAGTAAGGCCAGGAAATGATTGGCCCCTCCCATAAGGCTTAAAAGAGAAACAAAGGCACTTGAGCCCTTTTGCAGGAAAGCAACGTTGCTAACTCTGTTTCCAGGAGGCATCTCTTGTCTGTTTCTGAACTTCGTGGGGCTTTGCCAAGTAAGGCCTTTGGCAGGGTGTCAAAGAAGATAAAGTTTGGTGATTATCCCAAAGGACTTGTTTGGCAACTAATTAGGACTCATCTGGGAATGAACGTAATTCTTAGCTGTTACAATAAAATAGGTTTGTTTGGGACTAATTGTGTCTTGTAATGACTCAGTAAGCCTAGGTCACAACAATTTTCTAAAATCTATACACTAAAAGGAATATCTGTCAAATATCAGAGCAAACAAATTTCTGTAGCCACATGAGAATTTTAAATGTCAATGAGGAATATATAATTATTCTTTTAGTTCATGATTATGCCATATTAGCAGGATTATGCTAATAGCAAGGACCAGAGCAAGGTTAATGCATTCCCCTGTAGAATTTGTGCACTAGGTTTCACTGAGAAATAGTATTCCTCTAGTAAGCCAGCAAATTTATTTTAAAGAGGTTAATAATTTATGTTTTTGTTAGAAATATCTCAGAGAAATTTGTATCTTTTATGGACTGATGATGAATGTCAGCCTTGTATGCCATCATCGTCCTGATTCTGATAATTACATATTTGCCACAGTTAGCAGGGAGCACATTTTTGACCCACATTACTAAATTAACTATCAAAAAGAGATTCATTTAAATTATTATGTTATTTGCCTTTTGCTTAAAATAATGATTTGTTTAAAATAATTGCTTCCATTACTACTACTAGCTGACCTGCTTAATTAATGATATGCAGAATTAAGTAAAACCCACTATATGTTGTATTTTAACCTTATCTCCAGCAAGAAGAGTAAAGATGCAGCAAACTAGAGAGATACCCAGCAGGCGAGTCATTGACCTAGCGATACATAGTGTAGTACTGCCCTATTTTAATTGTGTATTTCTAGTAAATGATCATGTACCCTTATTTACTATGGGCAATACCGAGCAGAGGATAGCTCAGAAAGAAATATGCCTTTATCACCATCTGGGAGCTGCTGGCTATATTTATACTTGCAGTACTTGCAAAACATTGCTGTTGCAATTATTATGATGGAAGGATGCATACTTCACGGTGATTTCATGAGAAGGGTGCACCAAGCAGAGATGAAAGGGGGTGAGGAAACAGCTGAGATGGGCCGATGGGTAGAAGGGAGAAAATGAGAGTGGGATTAAAATGGTGGTGGGTATCAGGAAGCTGAGAACGGTTTGCCTCTAAGTATGGCTTTACCAAAACCAAATGCCAACCTCCCTCTCCCAGCCTTTGTCTAAGCCACAGAACTTACACAGGTTGCTGTAAGGGGTTTGTGGTGAGACAGGGAAAGCAGGGGTTGGGGGAGAAGTCTCACCACCACTGGAAGGTGGACTGCTTGGAGAGGTCCCCTGAAACTCCTCCAAAGCTTCTTTGTAGCTATGAAGATGGGGCTGTGAAAGAGAGAATGAAAATAGAATTAGTTTCCAGAACTGGATACAGATAGTCATTGACTTACTACAAGTTCATTTAGTGACCGTTCGAAGTTACAATGGCACTGAAAAAAGTGACTTATGAACATTTTTCACACCTATGACCTCTATGGCAGCCCCGTGACCACGTGATCGGAATTCAGATGTTTGGCAACTGGCTTGTACTTATGACTGTTGCTATGTCCCCCAGGTCCTGCAATTCCCTTTTGCAACCTTTTGACAAGCAAAGTCAATAGGGAAGGCAGATTCACTTAACAACTGGGTTACTAGCTTATCAACTGGGTGATTCACCTGACAACTGTGGCAAGAAATGTCATAAAATGGAGCAAAACTCACTCAACAACAGAAATGTTGGGCTCAGTTGCAGTCATAAGTCAAGGACTACCTGTAGTCTCCCTTCCTTTACATTTATTCCAACTCTTAGCAAATTAGTCAGCAGGGAGTTCCTTTTTCTCCAGATGCTTTCCTCTCCCCTTTCCTCCAGTTCTTTCTTCTTTCATAGATTTTACCCCTTTTTTCATCAAAGATCTTTCACGTACTACATTCTTCAACTGCTAGTAAGATGTAGGGGGTGGGAGGAAGCAGAGGAGGCAAGTTGCAGCAGGTATTCCACAATTTATTTTGCTGGGAGGAGGAATAAGCATGCAAATTTTTACTGCCCCTAACTAGTTCAATTTAATCCCCATGCTGAAGAAAGAGCCATCCATAGGGATGGCCAAATCAATTTTATGCAAATTCTCTGTTTTATAGATTTCAAAGCAAATGTGTGAAAATTTGTCATCTGAATTTCTTCTAAAGTATGCACTATTTTTGTGTGTATATGATATTTTATTGCCTTTCCAAGGATTCCTTAATGCTTTCATGCATTCTTTTTTTTTCTCTAATAGCAATAGCACTTAGACTTATATACCGCTTCACAGTGCTTTACAGTCCTCTCTAAGCGGTTTACAGAGTCAGCATATTGCCCCCAACAATCTGGGTCCTCACTTTTATCAACCTGCAAAGGATGGAAGGCTGAGTCAACTATGAGGCAGTCAGGATTGAACTCCTGGCAAAGGGAATGCAGAATTAGCCTGCAAAACTGCATTCTAACCACTGCACCACTATGGCTCATATAGTTGCATATCTAAAATGCAACTTACTTTTTTGTTGTTGTTTGAGTGGCAAACTGCTTCATAATATTCTGTGAAAATGAGGATTTCAGTATACTAGACACTTGGGTAGGTTTGTCTCTAAATTCAAAATCAAATAGTCTTGATTTCTATCTCCATCCAACTAATGTTTGAACAGGGCCTCCTATACCAGACTCATTTGTTTATTCCACCTTACTGCCAAATGAAATTTCCTTTTAATACCTTGGTATTCTCTGTCTTCCACCAAGTATCTTGACCGCCATGCAAGGAGTTAAAAAGAAAATCATATTTTAAAAAAGTACCTCCTTAGGTCTTCCTCCAGGATTGGCAGCGATGGTGCTGACCACCTCTGGTGAGACACAGTGAATTGGTGATCGGACAGTTGGGCTTCGTGGTGAACTGGGTTCTTGGGGACTGTTCTCGTATTGACCCTCACTGGTGGTACGTCTCCGGACAAGGGCTTCACCTTCCTCTGGTGACTTCTCCTGGGGCAGCTGCACTCCTGCAAATTCATTGATGTGAGGAAGGAAGATGCTAAGTATGGGATAAGTTCTAATACATACAGAAGATCTTGGAAAGTTGGCATTCAGCTCTTTAGGCTGCATCTTAGCATGGGAAAGAAAGAGGCAGTGAGAGCTAATAATGTATTAGTAAATTCACAAAATTTCTCTTTAACGGCAGATTATTAGCGTGGCAATTTAGAATATCACTTATTTAATTCATATAGTCTAGGAAAATCTTTTAGATCAGGTGTACATAAACTTTTTTACAATTAAAGTCATGTGGCCTCTGAGTGGCATGCCAGGCAATGCCCTCCCCAATGTAAGTGAGCTTGTCTTTATTCAGAATTATAATCACCCAATAAACACTCCTGAAAAAAAAGTTGCTCATTAAGAATTAGAAAACATCAGGAAAATCCTAGGATACTGTTCTTGCAGCATTTTAAAATCTAAATAGAATTAAAAGGACAGCTTCTTCTCACAGTTGTTTGCTAGAGAAAAGCAAGAATTTTTTAAAGAAGTTGGGAGGCCTCCAACCCATCTGACTATTTTTACAACAAGACCCCAGGGTGCCACAAAATCTAAAGAACAGGCTAGCACTTGCTTAATCAAGTCAACCAACCCATCTCTTTACGACTGAGCCCAAGGAAATTCTTTACTGCTAATATACTGTACATCTAGTTCTTCGAAACGTTCAACAATAATAAGTTCTGTTTCTCCCGACAACAAAAGGAATGTCTGATGCACAGCAACGAGGTCCTAAAAACCATACAAATATGTCCCACTGCTGTACAATAAACAATGCAGGGAAGGAACCCATTCAAAGAAGAACTAAAGGTTCAGTTATGAAACCAAATTATGTTTGTTGCAGTAACTGGAACTTCATACAATTATTTTTTTACAGAGAGAAATTCTCCTCATCCCTTTCTTAAATTTGCAAGGATACAGTTTGCAGAAACTACATTGAAACCTGTTCAGCCCCCAGCTAAAGAAAAGAGTCGGGCACCTGGATCTCATTCCAGCTTACCTATTTCTTCTTGTTTACAAAAACAGTAGCCGATGCCCTCTTCATGCAACCTGTCTCTTACATGTTTTTAGATTTGTGTTTGTTTTGCTCTTAATAAGGCAGCCAGGAAGGTAAAGCAGTGAGTGAGATTCTTAAAATGTTTATCAAACACATTCATGGGAGTTTCGATCTACATTTGAGCCCTTGACAGGTCTGGATCTTTCCTTAACTCATACCAGCCATACCACCTTCTCAAGATGGAGGAAGCAGTGGGGAAAACTAGATAAACCAGATTTTGGGGAACCCCAATATAGAATTAAGCAGAAGCGATTCAAACAGTCAAATTGTATCAGCCAGAACAAAGGGGGAAAATCTATTCATTTAGAGACAAAGAGAACTCCAACAGCTCCACATGTAACAGTCATTAAGAAAGGCAACGGCAGAGTTGTTTCTTAAAAAGAAGACAGATCATTTTCTACATTTGCCAGGCTTCAAATCTTTTAAACATCCCCCAAAGCCATTTTCCTTTAAAGCCTTACCTTCAATGGCCAAGTTTAAACATAGTCACATTTCAGTGAACTAATAAATGCAAAACACACACTGTTTTTCCTACTTTTCTGAAGCCTTATGGCTGGAGCAGCACATAATCAAAATACCATGATGTAGCTGCAGGAGGTCCAGTAAAGACTGGATTTAGATCTGTTTCCACCTATCTCTGAACTGTGCCTTCCTCGAATTATATTATAAGTTACAATGGCACTAAAAGAAGTGACTTGTGACCGTTTTTCACACTTACAACCGTTGAAGCATCTCCATGGTCGTGTGATCAAAATTCAGATGCTTGGCAACTGACTCTTACTTATGACGGTTGCGGTGCCCTGAGGTCATGTGATCACCTTTTGGAATGTTTTGATAAGCGAATTCAATGGGGAAGCCAGATTCACTTAACAACCGTGTTACTAACTTAACAACTGTAGTGATTCACTTAACAATGGTGGCAAGAGCGGTCGTAAAATGGGGCAAAACTCATTTAACAACTGTCTCACTTAGCAGTAGAAATTTTGGAGTCAGTTGTGGTTGTAAATTGAGGACTACCTGTAGATGGAAGCTGATTTCCTCAGTTAATCCAACCACATGCACAAACCCCAATTCTCCACTAAGTAAAGGTAAAGGTTCCCTCGCGCATATGTGCTAGTCATTCCCAACTCTAGGGGGAGGTGCTCATCTCCCTTTCAAAGCCGAAGAGCCAGCACTGTCTGAAGACATCTCCGTGGTCATGTGGCCAGCATGACTAAACACCAAAGGTGCACGGAATGCTGTTACCTTCCCATCCTATTTTTCTACTTGCATATTTTACATGCTTTAGAACTGCTAGGTTGGCAGAAGCTGGGACAAGTAACAGGAGCTCACCCTGTTACGCAGCACTAGGGATTCGAACCGCTGAACTGCCAACCTTTCGATTGACAAGCTCAGCGTCTTAGTCACTGAGCCACTGCATCCCTAATTCCCCACTATTTCGTACATATTTTTAGCCTGTCTGGCAAAAACCTGAAGGTCAATTTATGGTTAATCCTAAACCAAAAGAGCACTAAATGCAAGAAACTAGTGGTAGGGTCTCAAGAGTCTTTGAGGGAAGCCCTAAGCATGTTCTTGAGGAAGAGAGGTAAGATTAAGCTATCAAGTAGAGAAGAGTTCTCTCTCTCTCTCTCTCTCTCTCTCTCTCTCTCTCTCTCTCTCTCTCTGTGTGTGTGTGTGTGTGTGTGTGTGTAAGCAACAAGGCCTGAGCAAGAGATAATGCCCATTATAACAAGAGCAAAGAATCAGAATGAAGCTGCTCATGTGTGGAGGAAAACCCTGAGATGATGCCAGTGTCCTTCAAGGCTCTGCATTCCACTTTTCTCCCATCTGAAGAAAATGGTCATTGCTAGGCTGGTGGTCTTGCTGCTGCAGGCCTATTTCAAATATCTCTTGCACCAGAGTCCAATCCTCTCCTCCTGCTCCTACTTCATTTTCCCCCTGCCCTTCTGTGCTTTGTTTCCTCCTTCCTTTAAAGAGTGTAGGCAGTGGGTGGGGGGATGGATAAGGAAGAACAGAGCCAGTATTTCAGAGCCAAGAATGACAATGCCTTGGCTTACAGCAACCCAGCTTGCCAGGAATGATTGAAGACCAGCTGAAAAAGATGGGCCCATTTAGTGAATTGTAGTTTTGGCATTCTCTCCCTTCTGCATTATATTTGCTAGCAAAATTACAAGCTTAGTGTTGCATGTCCTTAGGGTAAGACCATAAAGTACTGTAACCTTTAACTAAGCTCTCCAGTGATAGAGAAACAATGGGGGCCTCCAGCAAGTTGAACAAAGCACACTCTAAGAAAATCCATCCATCGTCATTAAACTTAGAGTCACCTTATAGGGGAGTTGGTCAGCATATAAATTTGATGATAGATAGATAGATAGATAGATAGATAGATAGATAGATAGATAGATAGATAGATAGATAGATAGATAGATAGATAGATAGATAGATGATAGATAGATAGACAGATGATAGATAGATATAGATAGATGATATAGATAGATAGATGATAGATGATAGATGATAGAAGATCGATAGATCGATAGATAGATAGATCGATCGATAGATAGATAGATAGATAGATAGATAGATGATAGATAGATATAGATAGATAGATGAGATAGATAGATAGATAGATAGATAGATAGATAGATAGATAGATAGATAGACAGACAATAGATGATATAGATAGACGATAGACGATAGACGATAGATGATAGACGATAGACAGATAGATGATATAGATAGATGATAGATAGATGATAGATAAATGATAGATGATAGATAGATCGATAGATAGACAGACAATAGATGATATAGATAGACGACAGACGATAGACGATAGATGATAGACGATAGACAGATAGATGATATAGATAGATGATAGATAGATGATAGATAAATGATAGATGATAGATAGATCGATAGATAGACAGACAATAGATGATATAGATAGACGATAGACGATAGATGATAGACGATAGACAGATAGATGATATAGATAGATGATAGATAGATGATAGATAAATGATAGATAGATAGATAGATAGATAGATAGATAGATAGATAGATAGATAGATAGGAGAGAGAGAGAGAGAGAGGGAGAGAGAGAGAGAGAGGGAGAGAGAGAGAGAGAGAGAGATTGATTAAACTTTGGATCTTGGAAGCAACTTCAAGCTGTATCACAAAAGACTCCAGGAGAAATCTACTTATTGTGGCCAATCAGGGAGGATGGAGGATGGTGTACGTATTAATTGAAGTGCTCTCATTTTGTGTGTTATCATTTTGTAAAACAAGGAATGCAGCACATGAAATAGCGATGGTAGCATGGATTGCTGAACTTTTCTGTTTCTTCCTCTCCTCCATTTCTTAAAAGACTTTGCATAACTCTGATTCCAAAGACAGAGTAAATACAGTGAGAAATGGCAAAAGCAAAAAAAAAAAAGTTTCCATGTAATTGTATCCAAGTGTGATAAAATCATACGTATATTTTATGTTATTCTCATTTAGGTAGAAAGGAAACTCCAACCTAATGATGTAAAGGGTTTTCTAAGAACATCAGAGCAGCTTCAGTAGATGAGACCACAGGTCCATTTAATCTTGTGTATTACTTCCAACAATAACCAGACAGATACTCCAGAGAAACTAACATGGCTAGACATGAAAATAGCTAATTGGTATTCAGAAGGGCAACAGGGAAATTTCTATTTTGCAGTCCTAGCTAATAACTAGAACTGCAAAATAGGACTGAATAAGCCTATTTTAAAGTTTTGTGATTCTGCACAGATCTCAAAAATATTTTGAAGCACATTTTGTATAAAAACCTCTTCTGTCATTCATTCTAGCAGAGATGCCAAGACCACCTCCTTCATTCTCAAAAGTAAGCTGCATTTTTTTTTTGTTTGGTTACAGAAGAGAACAGAAGTCTAATTCACAAACCCACACTTGTACACATAGGAGACATTCCTTCCATAAAATGTTCATATTAGTGGCTGAACCTAGATTTATGAAGGTACAATTCAAACTAAACAATGGATATTACAGAAAGCAGAAGAACTGGTGAGGTGTATAAGTGCAAAAAAGAAAATATGAGATCTGGTGCAATCACTGAAATGGCAGGGAATCGAAAAAGCACCTAATTGAGAAGTTGTAAAATGTGTAACACTCATTTAAATGGCATCATGAACTATAGAGAGGTTTTCAGTTTTTTAAAAGACAACTTAAAAGGAGAGAAAAATGGAAGTTTGAACATCTATTATCTAGTGATAGGGGAACCATTAGCCTTTTGTCCTTCTCAAAAAAAAGAAAAGAAAAAGGTCAGGCGTTAAAGTAAAAAAATAGATTTGCAAAAGCAAATCAGGAAAAATGTGAGGATTATAAATGGCTGTTGATCTCATATAACTCACTTTCCTCCTCCTCCTTGTGATAATTTCACAATAAGTACCACATCTAGAAGCAGCGGAAAACAAGACTGAAGTTCAAGTATCACTCAGCCCTAAAATTCATTGCATGAGTTTGAGCCAGTCACTCTCTCTAAGGGAGAGGAGAATATATTCTTTGAAGGAAATGCAGTGTATAAGTATAATTAACACGATTGAGTCCCTCACCTGTATCCTGTCTTTAAAAATAAACATTTCTTTGAGGTGGTTTTTGCAAAACAGAACAGTAATAAAAATGCATTAAAAATAAGCAGCGTCAAATAGCATGCGAAAAATAATAAAATCAATCATAATAATGCTTACAGGAAGAAGAGTTTCCCACAGTATCTAAAATGAGAGCATAAAAAGCAAGGTGGAATCCCAGAATAACACTGCCCTCAAAGAGATTAGTTTTCCTGATTAGTTTTCCTCCACCGGATCAAACGGCAAAGAAAAGCTAATGTTGTTTTTAATAATAAATATCGACAATGTTTCTTGTTTTTAGATTGACATTAAACGTATCACTAAATTTTACAGGAAACACAGTATTTGATAAGTTATCTCTGTGCTATGTCTCATGTATGAGCAGCAAGGAAGGTTTTTAAACCATGATTGCTTTTTAACAGGCCACAATGGCTTGGTTCACCCCTAATATTGTACTAAATCATAATATTTGGGGTGGGGAAGAATCCACACACTTCAGTAAACCAACAATAGATTCATCATTGGCTTAGTATAATGATGAATCAAGCCAGAGTGTGATGTAATTAAACAATTTATCTAAGGAGTAATAAACAAGAAGAGAGATAAAATGGCACTAAACTCTCAGATTACTGTGAATTTCCCATGACTATTGGAAGCTATTGCAGAATTACCAGATGTTGCTTCACATCTGCTTGAAGAGCAGGCTGAGCCCCATGTCACTCAGAAAACTGTTACTGGACACTTACATGCACCAGGTGCTGGTTTCCTCCATCAGACATGTGGTTTCTTGAAAATAGGAAACTTTAGTTTGCAAGCAGTGAACTTTGTAGCAGAAACAACTAGATTTTGCACTAGTTTCTAGCCCTGAACAATCTGGGTACCCCCATTGATGGGGCTGCCTGGTTCACCCTGCTACCCAGCTTGTTAGACCCTAGTATGATGGCCAAGTCAAAAGTGGGTAATTGCAGAAAGGGTGTGTTGGCTTCCCTCCATAATGCACAGTGATGCCAGCAGTGTAATTATTTTACTATGTTTACAAGGGGGCAGGGGGAATTGCATGAAACTAACGAAGTGCCAGGCCTTCCAATACCGACTGTATGGGACATTTCAGTGTTCATCTGCTGGCCAGAAATGGAAGGTTAGCTATTGCATCTTTACTAGCACTGTTGACTCTCAAGGGAACAAATCGTAACCATTCCCATGTTGTCTTTGTCTAAATCAGGAGTCTCAAAACTTGGCAATTTGAAGACTTTGGACTTCCGCGCCCAGAATTCTTCAGCCAACAAGTCTTAAAGTTGCCAAGTTTGGAGACTCCTGGTCTAAACGGTAAAAACAGCCCCCAAACTCTCTTTCTTTTCAGTTATTAAATTTGTACCTTCACTTTAAAGGAAAATAATATTTTACAGTATTTATGAAAGAACCCTTACTACTGTACCGAATGTGTAGCTTGATCTGCCTTCACCAGTCATTTGAGCAGTTAAGAGATTAGCAAGATTGGACTCATGCTGAGGAGAAATATGACTAGGATAAGAGCAGCCAACTATCCATTCACTCACTGTAGGCGCCCCTCCCAAACCCCAGGAATACTAATGCTTCTCAGTAGAAGAGATATTTAGAGAAATCTTTGGAAATCACAGTTATTCATTAGTGCTGAAGTTTTTTCCTACGTATGAATGGTTTCCATCATTCTAACAATATTCTATAAAGCTTATGTGCCTGGGGGCCCAAAGTGTGAAATAAATCATGCATGCAGCAGTGCCCATTCCAGTTTTCCTTCCACTCCTTTAAAATTTGGGGGAAAGGGGAGTGAGGTTTGTACGTATACATCTTCATTCCCCAGTGAGTCCAGAAGCCAAAGTGACAGGCTATCAGGCATACGGCATGCTTTTGCATTAATTCTGGAGCTGTCTGTCAGACAAGCAATGCCTGCATGAGATTGCTGTCCCCAGGCCCTCCGGAAGCAAAGAGTGGAGCAGCGAAAAGTCACTTTCCAAATCAACTAAAGCATTGTGAAATTTTGCGGTTCAAATTCCAAACCTTTAAGGACAGATCTGGGTGGATTCAGAAGGGCCAAGTATCCTGTAATTGGTACAAATTAAACAGGTTAAACAATAGCAGCTTCTGTTCGAATGGTAGTCCTTCTTACTGTAATACAAAGATTGACACAACTCAACATGGACTAGTCCTACCTAACAATGATGCAAAACTAACACAAACATTTATATACCAATAGGTTTTTTTTAAAAAAAGGTGAAATGTAACAACAAAATGTTCAGGATTCCCAACTGCTGAAAAGGAACTTCCAGTAAAAGGTCATTCTTCTCTGGAGAACTTTAAGCTTGCTGTCCCATACATATTCCTCAATATGTAACAGGACATTATGAAGCAACTGCACTTTTGAAATCCATTGACAGCCTCCTTCCCCCCCAGAGTGGTCCTCATGAATCAAAACGTCTAGAATTTACACACCCACATGCTCACCCTCCCTCCGTTTGCCATGCAGAACTGGAAGCCTCCGTCCTGATTCCATTCAGTGCCGCCAGGCTCCATGGAAAGATCTGCAGTAAAATGCCACAGCAGTGCTGTAGAACACACAGAGGCCCTTAAATAACTTTGGCATCTGGCCAAGCTGTATTGAAAGTGAATATTCCATTCTTGAACCTTTGCCTCTTTCCACAACAATCCCATGCAAACTCCCCCCCACCTTCATCAGTTCCATGCACACTTCAACATGTATGGAAATATTGACTTAGTGCCAGTCACAAAGCAGAGGTGAAAGTGGTCGCCCTGAAGAAGACAAGCTCTCCCCAGCCAGACCTTGTGTGAGTGATTTCTAACTACACACCACGGATGAGCATCACATAGAGCAAATGGATACCTCAATGAGCTCACTAGACACACTGTCATAGAGGAAAGGAAAGGGGGGTGGGTGGGAGGAGGAGGAAAAAACACAATGATAGAAACAAAAATGTTGGAATTCATAAGGCTGTTTTAGAGTCCAGATCTGGTCAGCACATTGATTTGAGAAAGATAAATATGGGAATTCTTTTATTCATGGTAGTATACAGATTCTGCTTACCAGATTTCCTACTCCCTTTATTATTATTTTTAAAAGTCTTTGAACGAGGATAAGGATGGTGAAGAAATCTGGTCAACTGGATCAAGGAATGCCTTTTGTCCCACAGTAATACAACAGAATAATTGTATTATTCTGAAGAGGCATGCCTTCTAATTCATGGGGTTTTTTTTTTAACAAGTTATGGAAGACTGTTTGTGAATAGGCAAAGCTGCCATTTTGTGAATGCACCTAATATATGCTTTCCAAATGTACTTACATGGGAGGGGGGAGTTTATTGTGGTGTGAAGTCATCCCTAACAATGAAAAAGCAAAAGATAAATTTCTCACTTTCTGAAAAGTGATGTGGTAAATAAACGAATGGTGCCGTGTTCGAAAGGACTCTAAATTAGCCATATCCTTCCAGCCCCACAGTATGGAAAAAAGCTGCATCTCCCCAATTTCAAGTTCATGCCAGAGCCAAGAAGCCCAGTGCCATGCTAGGAGGATCTACGGCAGGAAAGTCCAGGGAGAAAGACGGAAAAGCAGCAACAGAACAAACCAGAAAAGGAGAAGGATCGTTGTCGGTGAAGAGGAGGATGGGGGCTTTTCATGCTGTTCCGGAGGTCCCGGAGTTTGGCGTTGTATTCTGACAAGGTGAGATGAAGGTAGGGCAGATAGGAGTAGAGAAGCAGAAGGTCAACCAAGGAAGAAACAAAATCCATCATGGAGAGTGTGTGGGACAAAGAGGACACAGAGAGAGAACAAGATTACAACAAAGGAGGGGGGGGAAAGGGAAAAGAACATAAGAGAAAATATTAGTTGAAATCTTACCCCAAGACTTTTAGATATTGTGATGTGGCTTGAGAGTAGGTCATAATACATGACCTGAAGAGAGCTCTTCAATTATTAATTCTTTCACTGTACCTTGGGTATATAGAGGGTAACCTCAGGAATGAAAATTTGGAGGTAATCACAAACACCATTCAGACTGCTAACTTTCTTTGGACTCAAACCATGTTCAGGACACAGTCTTTATCAACCTGGGATATGGATCTCAGTTTCAATCAGAAAATGAAAGAAGACACATGGTGTTCTAAAGGTCCAGTCATGTCCACTTCTCAGGGGTGCTGCTCATCTCTGTTTCTCAGCCAAGGGAGCCAGCGTTGTTCAAAGACATTTCCTTGGTCATGGGGCCAGCATGACTATACACCGAGGCGCATGGAACACTATTGCCTTCCCATCAAACAGGTACCTATTTATCTACTCGCATTTGCATGCTTTCAAACTGCTAGGTTGGAAGGAGCTGAGGCAAGTTATGGGAACTCACCCCATTGCGCAGCACTCAGGACTTCAGCTTTTCCAGCTGACAAACTCAGCATCCTTAACTGCTGCGCAGGATGTGGTCTGTTGCGGCTTCTTTATCTGTATTCCTCTCAAATATAAACAAAGTGGAAAAGAAGAACTCCACTGAGCAATGGTATAGTTACTTTTTTCCCCTTTGCTAAACTGGGAGTAGCCGTGGCTAGCATGTGACGCATCCGACCTGCAGGCTGCGAGTTTGACACCCCTGGTATAGACTGAGCCCAGAGGAAGAAATAAATGAAATGAAAAAGAGAGCAGCAATAATACTAGGAGTGAAAGGCCCTGTGGATATCTCATCTAAGGAGCTGACAGTATGGCAGGATAGGGACAAAATGCAAACGCAGCCATGATGTAAATGTGGCTCTATACCTACTCATACTATAAGAAATGGAGTATGTGTAATACAGAGATACCTGTGCCTCATTCAGCACTTCCTCCTAACCAAAGGATCAGCCTATCTCACCTTCCTGTTCTGAATTTCTTCCTCTCCATCACTAGCACTTACATTTCAATGATTCCATTAAAATATTTTGCCATTGCAGCGATGTGCTCATTTTTCAATACTCATCTGAGTATCCATTTGTTACTGAATAGTTAAAGCAGAAAATACATCTACAGGTAGTCCTTGAATTACAACAGTTGTTTAGTGACTGTTCAAAGTTATAATGGCACTGAAAACAGTGAGTTATGACCGCTTTCACACTTATGACCATGGCAGCATCCCATGGTCACACGATCAAAATTCAGATGCTTGGCAAGTGGTTCACATTTATGACCGTGGCAGTGTCCCAGGGTCATGTGGTCACTTTTTGTGATTTTCCGACAAGCAAAGTCAATGGGGAATCCAGATTCACTTAACAACCATGTTACCGATTTAATAAATGAAATGATTCACTTAACTATAGTGGCAAGAAAAGTCATAAAATGGGGCAAACTCGCTTAACAAACATTTCACTTAGCGACATAAATTTTAGGCTGAATAGTGGTCGTAACTTGGGGACTCCCTGTATTTCACAAGCCTGATACAATCCTCACGTACAGTCTTTATCAAGTACTTTTTGCATGACTGTCAGTTCTGACAGTGTAGGTTATTTAGCTAACAGTGAATATGGAAAAAATTAAGGTGGCAGCTTAATTATAATTCTACTATTATTCCATTCTTTTGAAGAAAAGTTTAGACTCATATTTGGGAAGTACAAAAAAAAATCAGTAGGAATAACAGAGATTGCCTTCATACAGGTAGTTCTTGACTACAACCACAATGGAGAGCTCAGAATTTTGATTGCAAATCATTACAATTGTAAGCCAAGGCACCATGTGACCTGACTCAATTTTATAACCATTTTACAATGGTCATAAAGTGAATCATCATGATGATTAAGCAAATCACATTGTGGTTAAGCAAATCGTGTCATCCTTAAATAAATCCAGCATATCCAATGGGCGGGGTTTTTTCCCGCTGGAAATTGACCCCCCCGCCCCCCCCGAAAAAGTCACAAATTGTGGCCATGTTACAATGGGACACCGTTCCTGGCCTTAAATGTAAGCCAGTTGTCAAATACCTGAAATGAGATCACATGACTGCAAAGGTATATATACAGCAATGATAACTTCCAGGACAAGTTATAAATAGTCTTTTTTAAAGTCTGTTTGTAACTTCAAATGGTCTTCAAGCAACTGGCTTAAGTCAATTCATATATCAAGAATAAAAAAGTTAATGTTAAAAGCATTTCTCTCTACCTCTGATTCAGTATTTCCAAACAGGCCGCAATCCTATACCTAAAACTTCCCTTTTGGTGGAACTTACTGCAGGACAGACATATATAAGACTGTGCTACATCTGTTATTTGGCAACGATGAAATTATGTTTTGCTAGTAATATGATTTATTTTAATAATAACACTTTAAAACATATGTAATCTCCTACACCCAAATCTGGACTCAAGGTAGGTTTTAATCCATCCTAAATATCAGGGAATTTGTAAATTTCTTCAATATGAAGTTCCACACACACCCTCCACTGCAAAAGGCTCGCATAGGAGAGGCAAGCGTATAATACAAACTAAATTGTATAAATAACTCCATTGATTCAGAGGAGGTTAAATATAGTCCCAACTATCCCAGTCCTTTGGGGTGGGGATCTAAATTACTTTGCTTCCCTCTCATGTTATGTGAGCAGCTTAGCAGGGAATTGGTTCATTCTAGTTTTAGAAACTGAGATGATGTCCTAGATAGTAAAAACAACTCCTCTGTAGGGACATCTCTCTAGTTTCCATCTGCCTAAAGCATTTGGGAGTTGCAAAAAAAAAAAAAGGGTGGACAGTAATGTAAGTAAGACTTTCCCTCTTACGTTTCTCTGCACTTGATGCACCACAAATTGTTTCCACTTCTGAAAATAAGAAAGAGGGCAGGGAAGCAAGAGCCTCCCAGCATCTTCTGAAATGGTTGGAATGGCTAAAGTAATGTTTCTCAAACTCGGCAACTTCAAGAAGGGTTGATTTGGGATTTCTGGGAATTGAAGCCCCACACTTTTTTTTTTTTTAATTTGATTTATATGCCGCCCTTCTCCGAAGACTCAGGGCGGCTTACAATGTGCTCAGCAATAGCCTTCATCCTTTTGTATATTTATACAAAGTCAGCTTATTGCCCCCACAATTGGGTCCTCAATTTACCTACCTTAGAAAGGATGGAAGGCTGAGTCAACCTTGAGCCTTGGCGAGATTCGAACCCTGCAGTAATTGCAGGCAGCTGGTCTTAATAACCAGCTTAATAACAGGGTGCCTTAAACCCCTGTACTACCAAGGCAACTTCATAGAGGTTTTCTTTTTTTTCTTTTTTTCTTTTTTTCTTTCTTTAATTTATATGCTGCCCTTCTCCGGAGATTCAGGGCGGCTTACAATGCATTAAGCAATAGCCTTCATACTTTTGTATATTTATACAAAGTCAGCTTACTTTGTAAATAAAGTTACCAAATTTGAAAATAGAATAGAATAGAATAACTTTATTGTCACTTTGAATGTATAATAATCAGCATACATTAAAATGAAATTTTGTTGCATACAGCTCTCAAAGACATTGGACTAAAGCAGGGGTCTCCAACCTTGGCAACTTTAAGACTTGTGGACATCAACTTCCAGAATTCCTTAGCCAGCTTTGCTTCGCTGGCTGAGGAATTCTGGGAGTTGACTTCCACAAGTCTTAAAGTTGCCAAGGTTGGAGACCCCTGGACTAAAGGATCCAGAGGAGATGACAAGAGTTGTTAGATCTAGCAGACTCAACCCAACAGTAGTAAAATGGATTATGAAGCAAATTCAAGCAAATCATGCTAATTGTTCCAGGGCTTCCATTTAGATCCTGAGTTCTCTTGGGATGTGCAGGATTTTCAGTGATGCTAAAAGGAATGCTCAGTTCTTCCTGGGAGCAAATCCTCCTAGAGACATTTTGCTGTAATCACTGCAGGGGGTGTTCCCCTGCCCCTGAATAGGAAACTGGAGTTCTCATGACAGCGAGAACCAAGCAGGAGGATGATCTGTGAAATTCCACACATACTTGCCTTGGAACAAACAGGCAATTTATAGCAAGTCACTGTAAATAACATGCTGGCCCTTGCTCTTTCAGCTTGTTCTGGACATTTCCTTCTCATTATTCTCTAGCATCTGCCGGTTGTTTGCTTCCAAGTTTTCATTCCCCCCCACCCCCCGATTCTTCATTTTTCCAATCATATATTTGTGCTCTGGCACAAACGTGATTTGCAATTAAAAATAAAAAGTCAACATGAAATTTCATATGCACTTTGTGTGCATTTTTTAAAAATATACATGCTTTTCCATATATCATGTACTTTCCGTCTCCCCAGCAGTCTGACATAGTAAGTGACTTTGTGCATACTTTTCCTAATGCATACATTTTAGTGTGCTCATTTACTTAATAAATGCATTTTCATAGTTCCTTTTTCTAAGTCGTCAGAACTACATTTCCAGGTCCAGAATCCTGTATTTGGCACGTTCGTGCATTTGTTCATGTATATTGGACATGTTCACACCATTCAGAACTGAACTCATTTCTCTTGTAACTTTATTAAAATGTAGATTTTGAGCATGTTCTAAAAAGTATTTTTTTGCAAAACACTATCGCCCATCTCCTCCCACTGATGACTGTATGACTGTAATCTTGTTGCTGGTATCCTTAAAATTTACTGTATATTGACTGTTTCCTAATGTGATTTGATTGCTTATTTGTTCCCTATGACTATCATTAAGTGTTGTAAGTGTTGTACCTTATGATTTTTGACGAATGTATCTTTTCTTTTATGTATATCGAGAGCATATACACCAAGACAAATTCCTTGTGTGTCCAATCACACTTGGCAAATAAAGAATTCTATTCTATTCTATTCTATTCTATTCTATTCTATTCTATTCTATTCTATTCTATTCTATTCTATTCTATTCTATTCTATTCTAAAGCACTGTTCTGGAGACATAGAAGAATCAGTGGATTATGGGCATTACTGCCAACTGCAGGCAAAGAAGCACTATTTACTGCTATGTTTTGTGTGAACAAAAACCATTCCTTTTATCTGAGTTCAGCCCGTGTAGGAACACTAAACACCCAAAGTAAACACAGGGAACATATTTCTATCACAGGTTCACTACTTAAATTATGTGCATCTCTACACATTCCAAGATAGCACAGTAGATCAGCCTTGATCCTTGATTTTTTTTTTCATCTTACTGTTTTGTTTTGTTTTTCTTCTCTAAACCATTTTCTCTCTGCTAAATATTTTAATCCCCATGGCCCAGAATCAGAACAGTAGCTTTGACTGATGGCTGGATTAGATCCAGGACATTTCTGAGTGGTTCTACAATTAAATAGTTTTTCATCTTATTACCATTATTATGGGTAATACTGAGGCTGACACTGCATACTGAGTGCAATGATCACAATATTTCCTTGCCACTGTGTATTGTGGTTTAAAGAGAATTCCAGAGCTTTAATCCCAAAGACAGTTTTGGAAAGTAATTTCTGTAATTTCTCTGTAATTTCTGCTTGGGAAAAGCCTGTTTACTATGCAACCTTGTTTGAAATGATGAAGGCACTTACTGAAGGAACTATTGTTTCAAAATAACCGATTCACCTCGATTAAAAGGAAAGTTTGCCTGAATACATCTAAAAAACCTTCATGGCATCCAAGGCATAACATACTTAGTTCTTGTCATGTACTGCATGGAATGAAATCTAGGATCTGTTGCGTAAATAAAAACTCATCTGTCTTAAGATGGCAAGCTTTTTATCATCAGGATTTGGATAAACATATTTTTTAAGGTCACATATATGCTTGAAGAGAGATGTTTAAAAAGAATATGAAGAACTAGTATGGAGGTTTTTAAGAAGAGATTAGACAACGATTTGTCTGAAATGGTATAGAGTTTCCTGCATGAGTTTCCTCCTAGGTCCCTTCCATCTCTGTTGTTCTGTTAGTCTGTTAAAATTATCACTGAAGTGAAAGAACAGGCTGTTGAGCTTGCCATTAGTGATGGGCAGGTGTGGGGGATCTTACAGTCTAAAGCTGTTCAGTTTATTAAGATTTCCTTCCACTGATTATAACAGAGTCAAAGATGCTTTCGACTAGGTGTATTGTCTTTTCTATGCCATAGGCACTCTAGGAAAAAATGGGGTTCCATTGCTTTTTCAGATATTTAGAATTGCAAAGACAAAAGGTCTTCAGCAAAGCTTTTTTCACCAAAAGGGAAATGACCATGGGAATTTCATGCATTTAAACTCATGCACATTACTTGTTCTTACTGAATACCATTTTCTCAATTCAGAGGATGCAGAGCCCTGCCCAAGACTTCCAGTGCTCTTGAGCTTCAGAAAAAGACATGAAAGAAGCACCCGAGGCAATGGAATATTGAGCTGCTGTGGGTATTGTGGATATTTCCTTCCTAAATCAGCAGCTTGCACAAAGACACTAAAAGCTTTTTGCCAGTTCCCTCATTCACTGAATATAAAATCAAATCAATGCCCTGTCTTGTTTGCCACAATCACTCTAGCAGTTGCTGGGTAATTTCTCCCTAGGATCCACCCTATCCAACAATGTCGTATTGTATGTTTTAATGTCAACTGCTAACAATTATACATTAGAAATTCAGGATTTCTTGTGTTTATAAAGATGTCAGTTTAGGGCAAGTGAGGCACGGTAGCAGCCCATGAATTAGCTAGGGCTATCAGAACCCAGGGAGAGCACCCAAATTCAAGGAAGTAAGTATAGTGGGTCCCAAAATTAATTTTTCTCCTTTTGGGAGAAGGAAGGAAGGAAGGGAATTCTCGACAAACAAACAAAAGCAGCTTGAGAAAAGGTTTGTGGTGCTCATTGTTATCTCATGTTAGGAAGACACTAAGTACAGATTACAGATCGCCAACATATAGTAATGCTATTTAGGCTGCAGGGATTCACACTACTCCTAGGCTGAAGTGGTGGTGGGGGATCGTCTAGTCTTCAAATGGGACAATTCTAGCTGCAGTCAATCAATCAATCAGAATAGAGCTGTAAGAGACCTTGGAAGTCTTCTAGTCCAACCCCTTGCTCAAACAGGAGACCTATACTATTTCAGACAAGTGGCTGTCCAGTCTCTTCTTAGAAACCTTCAATGATGAAGCACCCACAACTTCTGAACTTAAGTTGTTCCACTGGTTAACTGTCCTCACTGTTAAGAAGTTTCCACGTTAACTCCACGTTGCTTCTCTCTTTGATTAGCTTCTATCCATTGTTTATTGTTCTGCCCACTGGTGCTCTGGAAAATAAATGGACCCCCTCTTCTTTGTGGCAGCCTCTCAAATACTGCTATCATGTCCACCCAGTCCTTCCTTTCTCTAGTCTAGCCAAACCCAAATTCTACCACCGTTCTTCATATGTTTTAGTCTCCAGGCCTTTAATCATCTTAGTTGCCCTTCTCTGCACTTTTTCCAAAGTCTCAACATCTTTTTTGTAATATAGTGATCAAAACTGGATGCTGTATTCCAGTTGTGGCCTTACTGAGGCTTTATAAAGCAGTCGTAATGTCTGTTCCTTCAGCTTAGCAGGCAATAGAGGCAGATTATCTGAACTACAGTACAAACCATGCTGGTCCTATCCAATGCTTGGCGTTTGCATATGACACACTTGCTAAAAATGCTAGCCATTACTGGCCCAAGACAATAACCTATGTGAAATACTTGAGATCTTTTCACCCTTCCCCCAAACTGATTCATGCATTGCTATGAATAATTAAGGGAATTTTTTAGCTATGCATTTTTCTTCACGAATTGCCAGGGCAGCCCTTTCTCTAGCTACATCAATGCTTGAATTTCATTTATCGCGCCACCAATTGGCCCCATCCAACCTCTCATTCCTTAACCTCCTAGAACACAACCTCCTTGGGCATGGCATGCAGATACAGTATGAGGCACCGTGCCCAGGCCATTGTTTAGAACTGAATAAATAGTCAATAGCAGCTATTGAAAATCTGGCCAAACTTAGAGAAAAGCCATTGCGAGTGAAAATGAAACATTCTCTATATTTTCTGCACTGCAGTCTTTTCATTCTGCATTTTATGGGAAGAGTTGAGTTTATCCCTCTTAATTTGAATGAAGCCATCTTAACAAAAGCAAGTTCCTGAAAAAGCACACGTCCTATGACTTACAAAATCCCCATTTAGGCCCTTAAAACAGAGAAGATTTAGTCAAAAGAAAACCCACAGCAAGACTTTCTTACCTGCTACTCTGTGAGCCACCAGACCTTCAAGATGCAAAGGCTCTTCCTCTGAAGCCTGAGAAGCTTCTCCGTGATGCTCAGCCTCGTTGAAGGGCATCTGGGGTTGGACTGCTGTTGTGGATGAAGGAGGTGATGTCAGCAGAGGATGCTGCCCTTCCAGGACCTTGCATGCTGTTGCATGAGGCCTGGGAGATGTGGGTGGGCTTCCTGCCATCTGCCCAAGGCTCTTTCCTTGTATTACAGTTGGCTGTTGGTTCTGATAGCCATATGGAGAATAGGCCTCTCTGAAATCTTGTGCTGGATACTCCGGTTCTCCAACACTGTTGAGCAATAGTTTCATAGGATGAACTTTAGGCGTTGGTTCAGCCATCTGGGGCACACTGGAGCCCAGGGAGTTTTGTGAAGGGCTTCCTGGAATCAAGCCAAAAGCATTGGTAGCCTTTGGCTGCACCACGTGAGGTCCTATCACAGGTTGGGCAGACATTGAAAGGGCTACTGGGTGCGGCCTGTCTTCTCTGGTAGCCAATGGAACACTCTGGGATTTAGGCATCATGGAGACAGAGGGATCCAGGTCATGCATGAGCATATTGAGAGCTTCAATGGATTGTTCTATTTCCTTCTGGGAGGCAACTCTAGGGAATTCAGGGATGCTTATGCTTTGAGGGGGTGCTGCTTGTGAAGGGCTGGATTGGGGGCTTGCACTAGCAAGACTGGAACTATGGCTGTCTCGGGCACCATCCTGTTGACGTGATGGTGGTCTGCTACCTCCACCTTGTTGCTGCCAAGAGTTAAGCCCCCTCTGGACAGCTTCTCGACTACTTGTGCTCCGGGCTGGTGCTTGAGGAAGCTGGGAGATTTCAACAGTAGCTGTGGGGAAGGACTGGGAGCGATATATGCTATTTGAGTCGTAGCCATAGGGATACTGCTGGCTGGAGGCTGGTGGCTGGGGTTGTAACCAGCCAGGAGTGGGGAAGCCATGCTGGTGATAATCAGCCAGATTTTCTTGGGCAGACACTGAGGGCCTGATGTGCGCGTAAGCATCATGAGGGTGACGTCCTATAATGTTCCTCAAGGCATTCTGGTTGTTGTAGGGATAACCACCATTGATAACCATCTCTGAGTCATGCAGCTTGTCTAAGCCATTGAAATTGGATGAACCATTGGGTAAAGAATTGAGGCTCTCCATCCGGGGAGCCTCATGATAGCCAATGTCACTGGTGTTGGTAGTGCCATCGAAAGAGGAGAGGGTACCTAAGCTACCCACACTGTGTCCATCCTGGTTGGGCAACTCATCATCCAAAATGTCAGTTTCCCTCTCGGCCACTAAGCCAGCAGCTTCCCCATTGACATGAACCTGAGCTGGTATGATATGGCGGCCTGGTGAAGCAGAAACAGCCGCTGTTATCTCACTGGGGCTGTGGTTGTGCATGGTGGCTTCGTTTTCCAAACCAAATCCACTGAGCAAACTCTCAAGCTCCCGCTTTTCTTCAGGGGTCAGAATAGGGTTGTTTCCTCCACTGCTGCTGGGAACCGAAGGTGCTGCCTGCTCATCGGTCTTGTCTGTCTTGGTGGAAGCAGTTGAGTTCCCTGAATCACTGCTGACCGACAGCGTGTGCTCAATGTGGTTGGGGGCGGCAGAGAGGGCAAGCCGGTTGGGGTTGACAGTGCCAGTGCTGCCGTGAAGGGAGTCTTTCTTTTTCACCTTGGCATATAGGCTTCCATCCAGAGGTCCTTGGGTGTGCCCAACTTCTGCATGAAAAAGCAGAGAAAGAAGTCAAGGAAATCAACAGTTAAGTCAGAACTCCCAATTCATGGGTCTCCAAACCCGGCAACTTTAAGACTTATGGATTTTTAACTTCCAGAATTTTTCAGCCAGCATGGCTGGCTGAGGAAATCTAGAAATTGAAGCCCTAGTTGAAACTTAAAAAGATTTCTGGGCTGGTGTCCACTTTTAATTACCAAGAAAATAAACTTTGCTACTCTACCAATTGAACATTTGGTATTCCTGGTATCTGAAGCAGAACATCTAGATTCAGTCACAGTTTTTTGTTCCATATAGCATCAACCTTGTGAACTCTCAAGTTTCCTCTTTCATGTGTGTGTGTGTGTGTGTGTGTGTGTGTTATGTATGTGTTTGGATAGATATACACTTTCTCTTGAGAGCAGGCAACAGAATTTCATTTTTAATGTGGGCCAGTCTGCTCACAGTACCAAAAAGGACAATTAAAAGTTATTTATTTATCTTATATCACATGTTCTCTGCACCAGTCGGTCTCCCTGAGGTCTGCCCCATATCCCATTCCTACAGGAATTCATTGCAGCTGAAGAAGCACTGATGAAAGAGAGCCAAAACAATTGCATGGGACTCTTCCCCCCCCCCTTTCTCCCCCCCACTCACCCATTATCTGAACACAGGATGTTTTTTATAGCAGATGCATTTCACATTGATCCAATGATATAGGAAACCCGAGGTGGGGGGGGGGGAGAGGGGGATGTAAAACTACAAAAATATAAACAGTTTCCCAAAAATGGCATTCTATAGGATGAGCTGAACCTCTGACTTTTGCTGTACGCCAGGAACTACAAAATACAGGAGGATTTTTGGGCCCCTATACGGGTCTGTTTGGTTTTACTTGGCCAGAAAATGGATCTTGGCAACTGCAATGGAGAATATAATGAAAAAGTTGGCTGAATCCGCATGCTTCTCTCTACTGGTTGCTGGGGAACATAAATGGGAGGGCACTTTTATCTCCAGTATTCTGTTTGTGAGTATGTATTTAATCCACCACCGTGGGAACCAATGTTAGTTTAAGGATATGTATCTGTGATGTGTTAGTCAGGAAATTTGACAGATGGTTAAACACACTGCTTCACACTTACCTATACTAGCCCAACCTGTTAATGGCAGTAATTAGTGGTTGTTTTTCCACAGGAAAATAGCTGAAATTTGGTAGGGAGGGAAATGAAGGACTCCACCAATCACATGCCTTAATTTGTCCCCTATTGAAACGATATGGGCGGCACCAGTTGTTAATCCCATTTATAGTGATAAAATAGAACTTGGTGATCAACACAGTAACTCAAAGACTGGTGAGTTGTCTGCCAGTGCCCTAAATAGGACTTTAGTCATAAAGGTCACAGGATAGTATTTTTTTGTTTTAACGTTGAATAAATAGAACACCGCCAGAGATCTTGTCAGATAAGTAAGATTAAATGTCTATTTACTTTCTTGTATGGAAGACCCCCTGATAAAATTCATAGTTGCAATAGTTCACATACGTGATGCTTCAAAACTGCTTTCTGTGTGGATTTTGGGCAAGTTCGAATAGGGATATATATATATATGTGTGTGTGTGTGTGTGTGTGTGTGTGTGTGTGTGTGTGTGTGTGAGAGAGAGAGAGAGAGAGAGAGAGAGAGAAAAAACCTTATATTTATTCATAGAGAAAATCAGGAAATATGTTCTTTTTCTTTCTTCTTCTTTTCTTCTTCTTCCTGGAACTGCTTGAATACAATATGAAATGCACTTGTTCAAGGGGGGAGAGGGGGAATGACTTCTCTTTGGCAAAAAGTCAAAGATTGATTCAGGGACAAAAGATGAACTAATGGAAGAGTGTAGATCACAAAGCGCTTATCTGCAAAGATCAAGCATTTCCGAAATGGACTCACAATTCTAGCCTACCACAATTTTTTTCTCATGAAGCTCAAGGATGCATACACACATACGGGCACACATAGACACATATCCAAATAGCAACTATTAACAACCATTGTACAGCAGTAACTATATAGAATTTATGTAAGCAAAAACATCAATCCGGCATCTACCTTTCTTTGCTTGCCCCAAAAGGAAGCTAAAGTAACATACAGTATGTCTCAGAAATGAATATGCCATGTTGAACTTCCAGTGACCAGTATGAGTGAGAGCGATAACACCAAATTAAACACACCTGCTCCCCCTTCACACCTGAGACCTTGTAACACTAATGCTACCAGGGAGGGAAAACGGCTACTTGGGCCCCATTTGGACATTATCATTTAGGGGTGTACTCCCTTTTGTTGCCAGCAGTTTCAGGGTGGATTTGATTTAAATCAAGTTGATTTAAATCACAATTTAAATCATGATTTAAATCACTAGTAAAAAGGCTTGATTTAAATCAACTCGATTTAAATCATAATTTTTAAAGAGCAACTGTCATCTCTGCTACTCCTCTGACCCACTGTTGACTCACCAATAGTCCCAGTGTTGCAGAATATACAGCCTCATGCTACATAACTAAGCTCCATTTCATGCTGAATAAACTAAATTATTTATGTATCTTAAATAGAAAACTATCTTACGATAGATTTTTAAAAGTTTTTTATTAAAATAAATTCAATAAAAATCAAAAAAATCCGATTTAAATCAAAAAAATCCGATTTAAATCAAAAAAATCTAATTTTTTTGATTTTTTTTAAAAAAGTCATTGATTTTTATCCACCCTGAGCAGTTTAGACATTAATGGCTGTGTGTTGTGTTATTTTGAGAGAACAGCACATACAAGTTGTATACTCACTACTTTACATTCTAGCCAAGTGTCATTTCTTCAGTGTAGTCACATGAAAAGCCACATGAAAAGATATACTTAAATATTTACAAAATGTGAGGGGATATGCTCACTTCTGTACATACACTAAAAACCATCACAAGAGGACCAAGAACAGATTAATACAGAGACAAAATGTTCAAGAAATACATAGTAGTGCTCAGCATCTAAAATGCAAAGCACTTGTTCATTTCATGGCCAGCTGCACGCACAATCACTCATCTAGAATTTGTTTACACTAACTATTAGGTGAGGGGAGCAATGCACACATCCTTTACAAAGTGGCAGTCATAAAATACTTTCCAGGGTTTTCTACTGATCAACACTTAAACCTACCAAATCTTTTCTAAGCTCAGTTAAAGAACTTTCAACATAATTTTTCGGAACTGACATTTCCCAGAAGGCCAGCTATATGGAGTCCAGGTTGCCCAACTGCAATCCTTGCTTTACAAAGATGGAATGAACCTCTCACATTCTTCCCAAGGGCTGAGCAGCTGCACATACGAGCCCCGAACAACTGATGAATTTTGTGGGGAAGCCACAAGAATGATTGAAGAAAAACCTACACTGTAGTCTGCTTCTCCTCTTGGGAGTCGTATCATCCCTTCCATGGTCCTACAAATTTCCACTATCAGTCTTCCGGAGCCATTCAGTATCCTTAGTGAGGTTGCATAACCAGAACTGACGGCGGCCAGAATGGGCTGATGGTACAGATTTCAGCTTAAGAAGTGAATTCTTGAGCATACAACAAAACACATCTGTATTTAGTTAACAGGTCCAAAAGCTGCTCTCTGGTGCCAGTAGAACTCTCCCAAAGCCATCTTGCTGCCAAACAATTATTTTTAATTTGAAAATGCAGCCAGAAGACATACCAGAAGGCATCCTGCATATCGTTCTATTTCAAGGGTCCATGGGAAACTGAGAGGGGCAAAGGGGAGAGAGACTAATCTTGTCCCCAAATATCTCTTCAAGAGGATCACCCACCAATTTAGGATTCTCACTAAAGGAATGGTGGGTAAGCTGTTCTGGATACCTAACTGACCTTGTTTTGTCCTTGCAGTATTTCTACCAAAGCTGCCCCTATAAATAGCAGGTTGGGTCCAGGGAATCATTCAGCATATCCCAGAGGAGTTAGGGTTATGGTATAGAATAATATACTGTTCTGCTCCCATTACTGCCGGCATTGTTCAATATATTCCCAAGAAAACAGCAAGTCCCCAGAGAGGTGATAACTTTCTGTTCCATTTTAGGGATGGGCATCTGAGAGTGGCAGCCCCCCTCCTTGTTCCCCACTTGGGTAACTGAGCCAATAAACCTTTATCTCAGATTTAGCAGAAACACTGGGTTGCCGATGGCTTTTTCACTTGTACAAATTTCTTATTGTCTCCTGAGATTGCCCAATTCCAACATGAAATCAAGGTGCCATGATGCTTAGCTTCCCACCCCACCTATCCCCACACTACTTTTCAGGAGTATCCAGAGCTTGGCTTACTTTGCTATTTCCTTTGAAAGTTCCTTGTTTCCTTCTTATGAAGGAAAATGTACCAAAGAAATTAAACTGAGTGTTGACAGAGGTATAGATTCCCCCATTTTCTCACTGAAAACAAAATAGCCTTTCCTTCCCTTTCTTATCCACCAGATAGAAGCCATGATGGTATTCACACAAACATCCAGAGAGTCAGAGGGGTGAGGTTGTTAACAGTGCAAGCGCCCACAAGCATTAAGGCAGAATGGAGGCCCCTTTGTCTTCTATAGGGAGTAGTATGCCACATAGTAGATGTGGCATTCTGTCCTTCTGCACTGTCTGCTCTATGTTACCCAGAATTGAGAAACAAGGGAATCTCACTCCCACCAAGCCTATACACATTATGCGATATGATGATAAAGCAGGCTTATCTCCAAAGCTTAAACACTGAAAACTCTTGACTATGGTGAGATAATTGCACTTTGTTACTTAATTTGCAACAAAATGTGAATGGAACTAATTTCATGAGGAATTAGGTACTGGGAGTTCTTCCAGAGGACATCAACACAATAACACTGCTTGGAAAAAGAATATATAAATGCTGGCAAGAAATAAATATATAAATATATTGTAATTTTTTATCACAGCAAAGGATACATATACAAATACATATACATATACAAATACATATACATATACA